GGCCCTCCTCTGCCTGTTCAGAACTCCGCAGTTCTAGATAAGCTGGGCCTCAGGGACACTGTGCGCCCACCTGCCTGTTGGAAGCTCCACAGCTCTCTAAGCGCAGCCGGGATGCGGAGGCGGATGTAGATGCCTCAAACCCACCTCTCCACTTCACTGCACCCTGAAGCCTGGAGGGACCCGAACAGTCTGGGCTTTGGGCAGAGTGCGCTGAGCACTCACCACAGGCTGCGGGGCCTCTGGAACCTGCGATGCTCCACTGCCCGCTGAGACATCCACAGTCCTCCAGACACACAGGGAGGCTGATGCAGGCGCCCCAGATCCGCCCAGCCCCTCCTCTGCACACCGATGGTGAGGCGCGGGAGTCCCAAACAGGCTGGGCTCCGGGGATAGCGTGTGCCCGCCTGCCTACTTGTTGGAAGCTCCACAGTTCTCCTAGCACAGCCGGGATGGGGAGGTGGATGCAGAGGCCTCAAACCCACTTCTCCACTTCACTGCACCCGGAAGCCTGGAAGGTCCCAAACAGTCTGGGCTTTGGACAGAATGCGCTGAGCACTCACAACAGGCCGCAGGGCCTCTGGAACCTGCAATCCTCCCCTGCTTGCTGAGATATCCACAGTCCTCCAGACACAGAGGCGGATGCAGGCGCCCCAGATCGCCTACTTTTATTCTCTGTGGCTCTTCCCCAAAGTCAAAATGACAGTGAAAAGTAAATATTTTGAATTGATTCAGGACACCAAAGCAGCTACAAGAGCACAACTGAAGACACTCATGAAAGAGGACTCCTAGAACTACATCAGAAAATGGCAAGAGTGGTGGGGTAGGTGAGTTTGAAGCAAGGGGAAGTATTCTGAGGGGGATTAATGACGATGTGCCTTTACTGTAATAAAGCTTTAAAAATTAAACATTCACTGTATTTTTCTATCATACCTTATATACTATTGGTACCAAATATTACAGATGTTTTCTTCAGAATTTTTGTCCAGAAACTAAACTTTCATTTCTCTCCATTCTAAGCCTTCATTTCACCCTAAAAGTGCTACAATATCTGCTGGCTCTCCTGCTCTACAGATTTAATTTACCCTACCCTTTTGCTAGCTTCTCTTCTCTTTACTTTTCCTATTTATATACCTTGGACAGATTAATAGTCTCTTAGTCTTTATCATGCTATTTTATTTAATAGCTTAGAGTCATTTCATTTATTAAAGACTTAAATCACTAGAGTGTAGTCCATGTAGTTGCAATAAACAGTTAGTTCCTTTCTCTTTTCAGCATTAATTCTCTCTTAGCCAGGCATGGTGGCACATGCCTATAATCTCAGCACATAAGAAGCTGAGGCAGGAGGATCACCAAGAGTTCCTCAGCTACATAGAGTTCAAGGCCAGCCTGTACTACATAGCAAGGTCCTGTCTCAAAACAAAACAAAACAAAACAAAACAAAACAAAACAAAACAAAACAAAAACCAAAAACCAAAGCATGAATTCTCTATTGTTTCTTCCCAGATGCCTCACTTGATCCCAATTTAACACATCATGGAGTGTTGCAGCAGGCAGCAGCTGTTAATTTATCCACCAATATCCCTCACTTTCTTACTAAAAGAACACTGTGTAAAATTTTTTTCCTGACAGAAACTATGATTTCTTCTTTTTTTCTGCTTGGTATATAGATGTGATACTTGAGCTACACCAATCATGTCATAATAATCTGAAAAAAGACAGGATAATTTCAGCAATCTTGGCAAGGCAGAATTAATTTAGTGTCTTTGAACTGTTGAATCAGCACTAGCAACTGGATTGGTTCATTGTGGTTATCTGCTGTGGATATCTCAATATATTAAGAAAATGAAAACCTGAAAATAGTTACTATTTACAGCTCCTTTACTCATTTAATTTTTATAGTGGCCCCAAGGGGAAAAGATTACTAATATTTCCTTTTATAAAAGTTAATTTTATAGATGAAGTTAATTTACTTGTCCAACTGTACATATCTGTGAAACACCAAAGCCAGGATTTAGAATCCAAAAGAAGAGACTTTTCTTTGAGGGCAAAAAGAGGAAAGAGGTACAGAGGCAGCTGGGCTGGTGGTAGTGGAAACATGATGTAGCTCTTGTGTCATTACATCTATTTTCGTAATGAAGCTTTCAACGAGTTCATCTGCTGAGATGAGGAGGAGAAGGGATGTTAGAGATGTTAGAAAAGCAGGTGAGAAATTTTTGTTTTGGAGAGGACGAAAGTGAATTTATTAGCAAAGACCAGAAGAATAGGACCAGGGATATAGCTCAGCAGCATAAGCACCTGTTTGGCAGGCACTAGGGTCCTGAGTTTGATTGCTAGTACCAAAACAAACAAAGGCCAACAGAATTGAACTTGAAGTGAAACTACTTTTCTTGATTATTTTTTAGCCATTTCCAGTTGCTGAAACAGGCACAAAAAAGAATGTTTGGATTTAACTAAGGTGTCCCCCCTCAACCAGGCAAGAGAGACCTTAAAATAAAAAATGGAACCAAAGAGTAAGGGAAAAGGAACCAAGAAGGGGAGTTTGCTAGAGTGGTGATGGTAGGGAATCATGGGATTAAGGCTAGATAAGGAATGCAAGACCATTCAGAATGTGACAGAGACAAAAAAGCTGGTAGGTCAAAGGACAGGAGATTTCTAAAGGAAAAAAAATAGAATATGATGTTAAAGTCAGAGACTAACAGGGAGTAGGATCTTTGAGGAGTAGATTTGAAAAGCAGAGCCATTATTGAGGCTGATGAAGCATAGATTATAACGATGTGATGGAAGGATATAGCACAAAACAAAAGATGACTGGATCAAAAACTGCTAGAGCACTGGATGAAGTTACACAAAGAGAGGCAGCAGTAGAGTTGCTGGTGATAGCGGGAAAGACGGCAGCAACAAAGAAAAAGTCTGATACACACTTGAAAGATGTTAGGGGGACAGAAGAAAGAGGAGAGATAACTTAGAAGCTGTGGTGGCTAATAAGGATGCAGCCCACCTCCCTGCAGGTTTTGAGGTATGTGCTATAGGAAGAAAAATTAGACTCTAATTAGAAAAGTATTTTCAGAGTGAGAGGGTAAAGAGGCTGTTCAGAGAAGATGAGGGTGCAGCATAATACTCTACACATAGTATGTGCTCAACCTTTCTTAAATTTCAATCCTAGTTTTTCTTATGTATAACATTTCTTAAAAATAAGTTTTTAAAAATTTATGAAGAATCTGGAATAGATTAAACAATAAATATCCTCTAATGACTGTATTTTCCAAATCCATGAAAGACGCATCCTCAAAAATTAGTCCCCTGGCCAACAAAAATAGAGTCAAACAGCATCTTATTGTTTTTGGCTTAACATAAGTAGCCAAATGACTAGTATGAAAGAAATGCAGGCATTTTCTTGTATAAGAACTCAAAAATTAAGTGAACTGTGCCTTGATGAAGTATAGAAAATAATCTCTGAACATGAACTGAGCAAAGTTAACTTTATTATAGTTCAAGCAGAGAAACTTAGATCCCTTGGAATGAGAGTAAATGAGATCTCCTAATGACATTCTTTGGAATATAATATAATACATTTTGGAATTTAATGTCCTCTTTTAGGTCATAGTATGATGATTCTATGAATAACTTTAGCCTTTACTAAAAATGAGATGTTCTTTCCAGTGTCAGGAGTTCTTTTTCTCTTAAATTTGTTCTGAACATCTTTGTAAAACTAAGTAAATATCATAATTTTAATGTTTTAACAAAAAAGATTTATGCTTTATATCCTTAAGTTCCCTAAGTACTTCTAAGCTATCTGTATTCAGCTCATGAAATTCTATAGTTCTTTGTAGTCTTATATATATAATGAAAAATTCTGTTCCCTAAAGACCAAACTTACCCAGAGTCTCTCCCAAAATCCACTGTTTCAATTTAAATTCATATTTGTATTTAATGGTTTAATTATGATCATCAATCAAAATGTGGACTGGTTCAACTGTAGTTTAGTTCAAAGGACTTTTCACTTCAGCTTCCCCATAGATTATGAGTATTTATCATTAGACAGAAAAATTATCAGTAGTTCTAAAATGCCAGATAAATTGACCTCAGAAAGGTCAACTCTTATTTCAATAAGCCTAATATGTCATGTCAGAGAAAGTGATCTGTCAATAATATATACGGTGCTCATTTATCACACACAGCTGGGAGAAAGTTATTTCTTGGCTCCATAAAAAACCAGATGGAAGTAATTTCTTCCTAACTAAATTTCTTTTAGTGCTTTGTATACTACTTATGGGAATTTTCTCTTTGGAGTAGAGTGATTTTTGTGCTTGTCTTGTTTTTCCTTTTAGACTTTAGGTATGTACACTACATCTTAACATCTTCAGATAGTCTAATTGTATCACAGTATTACTTGCATTTTGTTCAATACAAGTAGTAAAATAAAATGTAATGGTGATACTATTAATATTAGTCTCATCCTTTGTCTTGCTTTGAAATCTGTGTCTCTTATCTTGTTTTCTTATGATCTGTTTTGTTATATTTAATTTTACCCCCTTTAAAATAAAATTTTTTTAAAAAGACAAAGAAATTAGTCTCATCAATATTATGAGTTATAAATAAACAGGCTTATGTGGCTTGATCTAGGATCATATTAACATTGGGTAACATAAGATACTACTTTGAATTCCAAAACCCTAATTTATAAAATTATTGCCAGAATACAGGAGGGACTTCCAATACAGTAGGACAAGAAAAGTCCCTGACAACAAGTCTACAGAACAATCAAATACCAGTTTTCCCAACCCCACAATAGAAGAAAATTAATTTTCCTTTAAAAATATAGTACCTTTTAAAAAGAATAATAAAATTGTAAGATAGTATGTAGAAACAATTGTAAAATGTTTCAAAAACAATGCAGGAACACATACTTAGGCAACTGAACATTTTAAATGTCTTTCATTTAATCCAGAAAATCTTGGTTAAGCAAAGGATGCAGTTCATAAACCAAAATATCAACTTACCATTTATGTTAATTGCTGGTAATACAATTGACATTTTTGGTCTTGAAGTCTTGTTATGGGTAGTAGCTGGTAATAGCAGGTGATCCTAAAATTAACAAAGAATAATGTGTTACTTATTGCAATTCTCTTGCTTAGAACAGGCCAAATTTAGGATTTCTAAGAGGCCTAAATTTCATTTGAATGGCAATTTTTATTTGAAATTTCCTTAAAGGTAATTAGTTACAGATCATTAGGATCATTCATTTGTGAATGCTATACACATTTACTAGCATTGCCAGGCACAAGCAGTGTTCTTGGAGTACTCCTGGGTTCTGACACATGCTGCAGTACAGTATAGAGTTTTAGACAAGCAGGCAGGACAAGGGGTTTGGTTTAGTTCTGTGACTAAATAGCTACATGGTCTGGACAAGACCACAAATCTTCTCTGGCTGCCAGTTTCCGGTCCTGTAAAATGACAGAAGCTATACTAGATAATAAGATACTGAATATCTACCCATTCTAAACAGTCATTCTCAAGCTCTTTTTTTTTTTTTTAGGAGAAAAACCTTTTTTTCTCCAAAATTCTTATCCCAAATTATCAATTTATAAAAGAGAGATGCTGATTAAAGCAGGGTCTGAGCCTAGGGTATTGCCTGGTTCATCTGTTACCTCTGAAGTGGTCACAGCATTAGACATTTATTTGTCACTGATAAATACTAAGAAGATATATAGAAGTTCAGGCTTAAAAACTTTACTAGAAGAGTTTAAGGAATTATAAATGCATGCACAGCACAACTACATAATGCTAAATAATTCCATACTTTTGATGACCTATAAGTAAATCAGGGTATCTCAGGTTTTTTGTCTCTAGTACCATAATTACTAAAAGTAAGAATAAGCCAAGTGAAATTTGGCTTCAGAAAAGGGGGTAATTTATGAGTCTTTTGGAAAATGTTTGTATATTTATAACTGCAAAATGACTTTGATATTAACTAATATTTTCAATAACTTTTTCTCTTAGCAAAAATACAAGGACTGTCACAAAAAAGGTATGTTAGCATTTGTATTTAACAAAAAGTAGAATAAAGCTGAACCTAAGTTTAATTCATTTTCTTTTGCTTTCTTGGTTTTTTTTTTTCTGTTTCATTATTCATTCAACAAATTTGCTAAATGAAAGACCTCAAAATTTAAGATTTAACTCAGGTATTACCATACATGCATGCTCGTAATCCTAATACTCTGGGAATCTGAGGCAAAAAGATCACAAACTTGATACCAGCCGGGGCAACTTAATGAGACTATCAAAATTTAAAGGGGATGGGGAGGTGAAGATATTGCTTAGTATGAATGCTCCATGTTAAATCTCTATCATTGGCCAAAAAAAAAAAAAAAGAGGTAGGATTTGATATAACTGAGAGTGACTAAACTCAATGCTATGTAGTTCAAAAGCAATGTAACTATGAAATGCAGTATCAGCAAAGTTAAGGGAAAAAGAACCCTATACTGTGAAAAACAACTTGAAAATGATGTACACAAATAAGACTATGTAGAAGACATTTCCAATAACTGTTTGTGTTTTGTACATTTTAAGGCAACATTTCTATGAGAACACTTCAGAAAAGAGGAAGAGAGGGCAACAACGAGTCCATTAGAATTCTAGAATTATAACTTCAGAATTGCAGCACAGGTTTTTTTTTTTTTTTTTTTTTTTTTTTTTTTTTTTTTTTTGTATTTTTCATTTTTATCGGTACCCGGGATTGAACTCACAACTGCACACTTGCAAGAAAGGCGCTTATGCCGTTGAGCTAAATCTCCAGCCCATTTTGTTTTTTAAGTGCATTGTTAGACACAAACATCACACATTTCTGAGTATAACACATTATAATCAAGAAAAAAAACTCCACAATTTGCTGATCTTGCTATGAAAGTTATAAATAGCTTAGTTCCTGTAATTAAAATATGGCTTCAGAGTCTCTAAGTTGAATGAGAAAACAAACTCAGAAATTTGCAAGCCCCACATTAAGGTTACTATAAAAATAAACACATTTAAATTCCATTGGTCATGAGTTAAAAGTCAGACTCAGACTTAAATCTGAATTTCCTGCTAAGATTTACATGCTGTATACTAAGATTTAGATGCTGTACACAAATGCTGTTTTTAAACGTGACTTACAGAACACAGCGTCTCCTGCTATCCTTTTTTAAGTTTCAAATAAAGTACTTACTTTTGTAGAAAAAGGCAAAAATTATGCTATTATTAATCAAAAATAAGAATCAAAGATTTTTTTTTTGTGGTATCAGGGATCAAACTCACGACTGCATGCTTGCAAGGCAGGTGCTTATGCTGCTGAGCTAAACTGCCAGCCCAAGAATCAAAGATTGTACATATACAAATCATTACAGGTAACCTGTCTTTTCAGTCATCACTAAAGGTTCGCAAACTTGGGAACAGCTTTCATTCATTCATTCATTCATTTATGTTGGTTATTGAATCCAAGGCCTTACACATGATACTTGTCCACTAGGAAGACCAAAGACCAAAAATGCTGGGGACCAAAGCTGGTACACTACAAATTCTAATAATGCTTATCAATACTAAAAAGTAATTATCCACAAAGAGAACTAGAACAGGGCAGTTATTTTATTTAACATTTACTTTCATTTCCTTAGACTAAATGTTCCTTAGATCTCACCACAATGAACCTTGAGTTGATTGAAACAAACTTTTCTGGGTTCTTCTCACTCTTTTTTTTTTAGAACATTAATATTGTTAGTCACAACTGTAGAGACAAAGGAGTTTTAGTTAATGAGCCTACAAATATTTACTGACTTATCATTCATCAGAACATTTACTAAGTACAGTACACTGCCATACATTCATGCCTGTGCTACCCAGGATGCTTTCTTTTAAAGTATATAAACCTAGGTTTTTATTTTGTTGGGGAAACAGTCTAAATTGTGACAGAAATAACCATTTGTCTCTAGTACATACTCCCCTTTAACTATATAGAGTCCTATGATACTTAGTTGGGCACGAAGCCATCAAGCATAAAAACTACTCTACAGCCTCCATACAACCAGATAAGGCCACAAATTCTAATTAATAGGTAGGAAAGTTGTACCTGCAACTACTTCAAGATGATAATGGTGAAAAGGCCACCCGTCTCCTTCCTGGAAGCTAGAAGACATACATAACTGTGTGACTGTAAGTTTCACTGTCAACTTGACTAAGAGATTCCTGAAAAGGTGATTAGGCCATGGGGGCACTATTCTCATCAATGAATTAATCCACCAAGGTTCACTGTTGAATGTGCAGTTATGACGTAGGGCCCAAAGAGGAGAATCACTGGGGCATGCCTTTGCAGAGCTGGTGCACACTGCTCCTCACCTGCCATTAACTAGGCAGCTTTGCTCTGTCATCCCTCCCATAATGTTTCTTCCCTGGAGCCAGCCAACCATGAGCAGAAACCTCTGAAATCATAAGCCAAATAAATACCTCCTTTTTAAGGTTGCAGGTGTTAGGTACTTTGTACAGCAGTGGGAAAACTGACTAACACAGAAACAAGCCACCCAAAGAAGTAGGGTTGTTGTGGTGACTATACCTGACTTTACCTGGTATTTGGGAATACCAAAATACTGCACTATGAGAATAAGAAGCCTTTGCAATTGGTTTCTAAGATGAGTTTGAAGATGTAGGCTAGATCTAGATGCCCTAGATTTCCATCAGCTGAGCTTGATGGGCAGTTCTGGTTGGAGCTCAGAAGACCAGCATGCTGATTAAAAAGATGGACACTGAAGGCCAGGCTCATGAGGTTTTAGATGGGACAGTAGCTCTGTTGGGAACTAGACTAGAGTCCATGCATGTTACATTCTGGAAAAAAAAATGTCCACAATTGCCCATGTCCTAAGACTTCATGGAAGGTTGAGCTTAAAGGCAGTGAACTAATTGCTCTAGTGGGGGAAAACTTCAAGGCAACCCATTATTCAAGCTATGGCATGGGTACTGCCAGATTCTTTTAGCAAGACGTATAGTGAGAACTGGAAGCAAAAAACAGAGCTGAAAATACTGAAAAATTTTGGCTCAAAAAACCATGCATAAAACTGAGGCCGGCAGAGGTGTGGTTACTGAAGAGATTAGCACCATCAAAAAGAAAGTAAGTACACTAAAAACTTAAGATTGCAAGTAACTTGTTCTGCAAGCATTCTCAAGATGATTAAGAATTCCTAATAAACTTTAACCTGATAAACAGGCAGTGTTTGCATGTGAGTGGTCCACAATGTCAAACATCACATAATCACAACTGAACTAATGGCTCTCCTCCTTTTCTCTCTCCCTCTGTGCAGGATTAGGGGAGATCACCTCCCAACAGTAAGAGATTATAGAGGAGATGTCATCTTCAGAGGAGGAAGAGAAAAAAATCCAGGAATCCTTCATTTCTAATGAGATTAGAGAAATACATAAAATGTGGGAAACTGTGCAAAACTGTGTAGAAAAGTATCACCCAAACAAGGCTATAGCAGTACAAGCAATGAGTCTGTTAATGACAATACAATGTCACATTTCCACGAAGTCTTCAAAAGGGAGCAAAAGCAAGTGTCATCATAAGTTCCTTGTTAAAGCTGGCTACACATAAAAAAAAAAAAAAGATTCCACTGAGCCAATAGAAAACAGTGATTCTGTTAGTGATAATAAAAGTCATCCTAACAGTAACCTTCTTCTCTGATCTCCCTCACATCAGTCACAAAGATTTTAAAAGCAAGTACAGATTAATTTATTTTTCTTTATACTTTGTATTGTCTTTATTACTTTGTATTATATTACAATATTGTAATCATTTTTATAATGAATATTTTTGGGTTGTGGAACAAAACATTTGAACTTCCATTATTTCTTATGGAAAAATTTGCTTTTATATACAAATGTTTTGGATTACAAGCATGTTTCTGGAATGAGTTATGCTATCAAACCAAGGTTTTACTATACTTTGAACCAGGATAAGAAGAAAGATGCCTTGAGGGCATCTTAGGAACCAATAAGACTCTATCTATTTTAGGGTCAGAGGCACAAAAGTATAAAACCTTTATTTGAGAAGGAAGCCCCTGGGTCCCATACTCAAGAAGGGCCTTCTATGGAATTGGTTCCCTAGGATAGATTTTTCCATTCTCATCTACTCAGGCCCTTGAAGACTGCTACAGCCATGGTCCACGGGGGGCCTGGCTATTGCTCTTGCTGACAGCAGACCTTGCCATTATCTAAGTGATGCTGTTTTTTTTTAAGCATACAGAACACTGAGAATAGGGAGATGGAGGTCTCTAACCAGACTTCAAAGGAAATCTTGGGCAGCTAGGCAATGTGTGTGAGGGCTAGGAAGGTGTGTGAAGCGGTGGGACTGAGGCAGAAGATGCAATGGAGACTCTAGGAAGTCAGAGATGCCAGGAAGATGGAATGACCACCAAGAAAAGCCCAGAGGCAGTGAGAGGAACCAGCTCAAGCAAGAAGTCCTATGGATTGCAACCAGCAAAGCCACTGCAGTGGGACAGCCCAAACCCCCTGAAACTCACTTCTTACCATCACGTGACCCAGATGCTGGAAAATGAGCTACAGGATTTAATGTTTGCCTTGCTGGGTTTTGGTTTCACTTTGGTCATTTTTTCTCTCCTTCTATTCCTCTTCTTTTAGAATGAAAGTGTTTACCCTTTGTCACTTTTTGGGGGGATTAATTAACTTGTTTCTTGAACTTTACAGAGGTTCATGTTAATAATTTGTCTTGAGTCTCAGAGGAGACTGACTTTTAAGAAATGCTGAAACTGTGGAGACTTTGGAGATAGGATTAGTGTATGTTGGCTGTGCACAAGATAGTTACATCATGTTGGATAGAATTATGACTTTGTATTGTCTATATGTGAAGACTGAGTATAGTTTAAGGATAAATGTTTGGGTGTCAAGCTGATAAGGGGTAGAATGTAACAGTTAAGCTTAATTGTTGACTTGATTGATCAAGAGACTTCTGGAAAAGTGATTGGACCAGGGGATACTATACTCATTGGTGCAATAATCCACTAATGTTCATAGCTGAATGTGCTGTTAGGTGGTAGGGCCCAGTTGAGGATGGGGCACCAGGGACGTGCCACCTGGAAGGAATATCTCTTGCTGGTACCGTACTATCCTGATACTCTGCTTCCCATTTGCCATGAACTAATAAGCAATTTTGCTTTGCCAGTTCCTTCCTCCATGATGTTTCTGCCTTGGAGCAGTTAACCATGGACTGAAACCTCTCAAACGCTAAGTCAAATAAAAGCTCCTCCTCCTAATTGGAGCTATTAGGTTTTTGTTTGACAACAGGAAAGCAAATCAATACAGAATGCTAGATCTTTAGTGGTCATTTTGGATCATGACAGGGGAGCTGTAGGTAGAGGGTTACAGAGCAGTAAGAAAGAGATAAGGATCCTGATGATCATAAGAGCCACCGTAATACCTCTGGAACTTATATTTGAGAGAGAACTAAAATTCTAATTTGTTTAAGCCACTATTATTTTGGATTTTCTATTACTCATAGTCTAAACCAAATCTAATTACTAGACTAGTTAATCATGAATGTGTGATAGTAATAAAGGCCAGAGCTGTTACTTTTTAACATCACAGAAAAAGAACTATATTTATTTCTTAACCTTCTTGATATAAATCTCTCCTTTATTTCACTTAAATACTTACTAATGAACTAATGGAAGAAATTCAATTCTGGAAAAGTAGAGTGGAGGGATAATTTGATGAATTTGAACAAAACTGTCTCCCTCCTATTAAGTCACCTAAAATAATAAAAGTAGAACAAAAGTAAAACTATTTGAAAAGGAAATCTAGGAAAAGAATGTTTCTATAGAGATAATATATTTTGGCATTGACATTCCAAATTATGTCATTAGTTTTAAGACATTTCCAGATGGATTCCCGAAAGCCTTTATAAAGCTTAGATAGTCATAGGATATCTTCAGAGACAAAATTATGTGAGCAAAAATTATAATTAGTGCTTTGTTACTCATATTCCCAAAAGAAGCTGGACAAATAAGGGTGGGGGAAATACCAAAATCCTGCACTGTGAGAATAAAGCAATGATTTTCCAATGTTATGCAATACTGTACATGTGAAAAAAGCTATGTTCATATAGTTTTCCAATCTGCTTTTCAAGTCCCTCATTAGAAGTACGTGAAGTATTATTAGTACATAACATAGTACTCAAAGTTATTTAAGAAAACAAAAGCTTTGAAGAAGAATAGAACCGCATTTTGCTTAGCTAAGGTTATTATGGTAATTTACAACAAAGGTAAGGTTCTGAGCCAGGTAAGGTGGTGGTTGTAATCCTGCCATTTGGGAGGCTGAGGCAAGTGGACTGCTGTGAATTCGAGGTCAGTCTGAACTATACAGTGAGTTCAAGGTTATCCTGAACTACACAGTGATCCTCTGACTCCCCCACCAAAAAAACAAAAACAAAACAACAATAACAAAAAGTAAGGTCCTATTGGGATTCTATGTATCCACACACAAAAAGAAACTGATTTATTGAATTAAATGACTCTTCCACTCCTATTAAACTCACAGGTTGGTACGTATTAAACTTTCCTGGCTACTTGAGCTGTGCTTTTTTCCCAAAATTAATTTTACTAACTGTATGTTAGTGTAACTGTGTAATTTAATAGAATATTATGTAAACTGATAAGAACTGTGAAAAGACAGCAAGACTTGATAAAAGTGAAGAGGTTAAAAAATATTTTTCCAATTGCAAAACCACCACTAGAAAATGGGGGAAAAATCCTAAGACTGTTACTCAGATTGCTTAATAAGTATTTTTCAGTTACTACTTTAATTTAAAGTAACTGGAAATTGTACTTCATAAATTATAGATGTAGTTCATGGAAGAAAAGATGGGTACAATTCTGATTTCTCTCCCCTTTTTTATAGATTTGTGATATAGACTAAATACATTCATATGGAGAACTGGTTCACATATATTCACATCTTGCTTCTTTTTATTTTTAAATAGTGGATTTGGACTGAAAGAAAAGGTACTCATTATTCATTACAAATTGACAAATGAATACACATTAAATAAATAAAGTAGAATGAAAAAATGTCTTTAAAAAAACCAATTCCTTGCTTTAACCAGTTTTGTTTAAATTAACCAGTCAAAAATTAACAGACCATCTACTAGTTCTTATTGTATTAGGTAAGACAGCATCTCTTCATTAGGAAACCGGCTCGTGGTTGAAGGCTTGTTTGAATAAAAAGAAATACACTGATTATCTAATGAAGCGCACTAAGATTGAAGGAAACTCAGATGGCAACAGGCTGCCACTGTGACACTAGGCGATTCTCACTTGGATTCACACGGCCCTGGACGGCAGAAAGTTTTGTATATCAGGCCAACAATAACAACGGCCTCTTAACATTTTATATTTGGCCCATATTCACTGAATTCCTGAGATGGGGTTGGTTTTCAAGTACAAAAACAGTTAAAACCAGATCAAAAATCTAAAAAAAAGTATCTATCCTTATTTAAGCTTTGTATTAAATGTTTCCTCACCTGTGCCTGAGACAGCTTTCATTTTCTACTGTTACTCTACCTTAATTATTTACCATGTAGCTTTGAAACTGCCACATAAATTGAAGAGTACAGTATATATCAAACCTCAAAAAAACACAGGGCCAAAGCAGCAATTATAAGTTGGCCTTTACAGTTGCTTATCTAAATTCACAACATTTGGAACTGGTTTTCTTTCAGTTATACTAATTGCTGATTGGAAAACAAATATGTCCATTTGCCAGAGCAATACAAATTGTGAACAAATTAAAACATACAGATACAGACAGTGACATATCCAGGAAATAAACACTGAAAAAAAATTTTAGAGGTAGTAAAACTTAAGTGGGATGTAATAATTTTAAGTCTATTAAAGTGTCCATGATGTAGAACTTCCCATCATAGTAAAAAATGAATTACATTACTCACCCTAAGATTAGAAATAGTTAATATAAAAAATAAATATGAAAAAAATATGAATGCAATATTTGTGCCACTAATGTGTTTAATAAAACTACAAATCAAAAGAAGATATAAAGCTTGCATCTGCGGCATTAAAGGGAGGAAGAAAAAAACCAAAATTATAAATGTACAGCAGATGCCCAAGAATGAGTCAACAGTTATATTGACAAGAGGAAAATTTTGACAATGCAAACAGCTGCCAAGGTCACCAGAGGAAAAACTAACTCGAAATTTTAATGGATGCATACTTAAGTTTTGCTTTAAAATATTTTTCTCATATTAAACTCTGCAAGAAGCTTCCTCAAACCTGACCAGTTGACCTGGCCACTTCTTTAATTTGCACACAATAAAGTATTAGGTTGAACCATATAAAATTGTTGTTTGGTGGGTATAGTTTTATCAGTAAGTTGGAATGCTTCAACCTAACTCCTCTCTTTTTAACAATCAGACAATTTTTACTTTCTTGTTCAAATAGATTCTTGCAAATACTAGTACCAAGAATAAGAGAGTAGCTTCCAAATAATTCTCTCATGAGGAGAATTGCATGGAAAATGTTTCTAAATCAAGTCAGGATTATTTTTCCTTGAGAAAGCTTTTAGACAAAATGTTGGGTTACTTGCTTAACAGGCACAGGACCAGGAAATCTTTAACCCTGTGCTTTATATTATTTCATTCAAAACTGTGAGCTAATCAAAGTTCAAAACATTGTCACCTCTAATAGCTTTTTCAAAACCTGGACAGTGTGTGATTTGGGGAAATTTAGGACCCTTGGAACAGGTTATTAATCATTATTTGTTGAGCGCCAACAATGTGGCAAATTTTTATAATGTCTTTCTAAGGAAAAAGATCAAACACTAAATGTGTAACAGTTTATCAATTTAAGCATACCACACATAATATTTATAAGATGTTTCATTTTAGAAATTTCACTTTACCCAGCACTACCAGTAGGAATCGAATTTCCTGAAGGTTAAATTGCATTCAATAGACCAAAGCAAACCACAGAGGGCCAAAGAGGGGAGCCTATGGCTAAAGCAAATTTAGTCAAGTTTCTTGAGAAAACAGATACTAGGAAATATTTCAAGAAAAAAATATAGGTATATAAGAATTATTTTACTTTTGTTGGAGGAAAGGGGAAAATATTGGGTTGAAACAAGAAAGTTAACTTTGAAGATCTACACAGAGACTCAAACTAGTCTCAAATGCCATGTGGGTGTGCAGAAAGGAGCTCCAAGCATTCTACAACTTTCTGGAAGGGGGGAAAAAGGAGTTTGACTTAATTTATATTTCTAAAGTCATTTCTCCTCCCATGATTCTCAGCGTCTGGATAATCCCCTGGTCTTCTCTACAGATCTTGATCCTTTTCTTTTCAAAGCAATTTTGATCATGGTTTCAAACAAAGAAACAAGAAGGATTGTAAAATATCCCTAGAGTACATTTTAGCAAAGACTGATTGTGACAAGACAAATTAGTAGGTAAGAAATATAAAGTATTGTACTTTATAGTTCTTTTAATGCCCTTAAATTTTAACCATAATTTGCAACAATCTGATTTGTCCACTACCTTAGAAGACAAGTTTCCTCTCAGGATCTGGGTTAGCAAGGCAGCCAAACTGAACTTCTGCTCACAAAAAGAAAGCTAAGTTTTTATTGTCACTAAATATAGAGCAATAAATAGTACAACACAGCCCTGTTGTGTACTCCAGGAGAGTCCTTTTCACATTGAACAGCATGTTCTTTCCAGTGCCTGTCCGTTTTAATCACAAACGCAACAGCAAGTTTGGACAGTCTAATAAGCTTTAAGTGTATTTTTGAATGTAATGCATGTGTAGGAAATAAATGAAAATTCTCCTTTCCTTGTATGGTCAAGCACTGTTCTAGAAAGGGCATCAGATACATTTCGGGTAACAATGGCTTAAAAGGCAAGCTATGGTCTGGTAGTACTAATTACAAGTTCTGTACCCATTAAGTACCCTGAAGCATCTAGTCTTACAGTCAAACGAACTATACAAAGAAGAGTACATGGTGACAGTGGTGGGTCCTTCACAACAGAGGTTCTTAAGAACGTCACCTGCAGGCTTTTATAATGTAAATAATAAAATGTTGTCTTTTGAACAAATTACCCTGGTGATTCTGGTGCAGATACTTCCATGAACTCTGCTTTCACAAGCAATGCTCAGTGTAGCACAGACAAAAGTTAAAAACTTGGACTCAGAACCTGCAGTGCCAGGTTTGAATTCTGCCTCTACCATTCAATTCTAGCTGTAGCGTGTAGAGCAAATTCCTTGCCCTCTCTGTGTCCTCATTTTCTTATCAGTAAAACAGCCATAGTAAAAAACTGTATGCATTGTTTATAAAGATTACACAAGCTAGTATTTTAAAGTAACTGAATAGTGATTGGTACGTAGGTGTCTAATAATTTATTTTTTCTTTTTTGTAAAGGATCAGTACAGTGAAGTACTTGAAAAATGCAACACGGAAGACCAACAAATATAAGTTCATTTCTTTGCACATCATAGCTGACAGCCACTGCCCTGCTGCTGAGTAAGGTGGATTTAATCTTGTCAGCCTAGAAAGGAAAGCTCTTTGTAATCTGACCGCTACTGACCTGGCCTCTTTGCATCAGGTCTTCTCTCTGTTCCTTTCCACAGACACTAATGCCAGCTGTCACACTCTCCATGAACAAAACCAGGAAAGAAAAACCCTTATATTTTATTTCCTTTCATTTAAAAGATGACAAGGGACAAATAACTGAAGCACAAGTGTACAAAGTCTCCAGTTTATCCCTTTTCATTTCAAGTAGATTGCTCGGTTTTGAAGTGCTGATAGATTGCATGTATGGTAGAGGCAAGATAATTGATGTGGAAGAAAGAAACTAAATTGATTTTTTTTTTCAAAACACCGTATTGCTATGTGGTTCAAACTGGCCTTGAATTCACTTTGTAGCCCAGATGGGCCTCAAACTTGTAGAGATCCTCCTGCCTCCGCCTCCTGAGTGCTGAGAATACAGGTGTGTGCCACCCCATCTGGCTTCTAATTTTTTAAAAAAGTATGAATTATCAGCAGAAAAAAATGTTCTGGAAGTTGGAAAGAAGGAAAAGAAATGGGCTGAGCTGCAGGCTTTGTAAGGCAGAAGAGATTAAAACAGTAACTCAGTGATGTGTGGGAGTGGAAGACAGGTGAAGAATAAGAGGAGATGAAAATCTCTGGACATTTTTTGTCTATAGTTGAAATGATAGTTCCTTTGGAGTATCTTTAAAGAGGCTTCATTCATGACCTACTTATGAAGTATTTCAGGTATTGGATTTGTATTTATTTTGGATATTTTACCATGCCAAAAATCAGCCTTTAAAAAGGACATGTATTACAAGTTCACTTTTATTTAAATTACACAGATAAAGGGTCTTTTCCTCTATAAAGAATTCATAGTGGTCTTTTTGGCAGAGAAGCATACTTAAAAATCAAATTAAATCTTAGTACAAAAACCACTTTTCATAGGCCTAGCAATTTGAAGAATTTGGGCAGCTTCGCCTGTACCACAGGTGGTTCTGGGTTCTGCTCCATTCTACTCTGTGGCCTGGGCCCCATCCCTCCTAATCCCCGCCTGGCCCACCTACTCCTTTGGTGCAGGTCACTCCTGGGGGTGGTGTTTCTCCTTCCCTGTGTGAAGGGCACAGTGACTTCTAACAACGAACAGGCCTGGCGGAGACCAAGTTCACGCCTAGAAATGTGCCCCTACTACAAGGTTCTGTAGAGTTGCCTCCATTTCATTCTTAAGGTTTAATCAAGCTGCCTTTGTGAGTACTAACGTGGGTTAAAGGAGCCCAGAAAAGATTTGTGGAGGGAGAAAGACTTATAAGAGACTCTAGTATAAGGCACGAATTAAGAGAAAACAAAGTCAAGTTTTAGATTTGATATTCCTGATACTTGATATTAGTAAGGCAAGCCTTAGATTATATTTCTGGTTTTATTAAATATTTTTCATTTTGTTTATGTGAATTTCAGATCTTTAAGATTAAGTATTTAATTATATAATACTGCTGGTTTTGGCTCTCCAAAACTCAAATGTCATGTTTTCTCCTTGTAGTAGATATACTTCTTGAGTGAGGTTTTATGAACAAAATATCACCAACTACAGAAACCTGAAGGGGAGGGGGTAATTTCCCTCCCTCCGTCCCACCTTTCTTTGTATTTAGGATTAAACTTAAGGCCTTCACACTAAGTGACTTCCCCAGCCCTCCCCTTTTTAAAAACATGTTTTGAGACAGAGTCCTGCTAAGTTACTAAATTGCCCAGGGTGGGCTCAAACTTGGGATCCAGCTTTCCAATAAATTCTCTTTCTACTTAACAGTAGTGGTTAAGTTTCTGCTGTAAGTAAAATTACAGTAGTTTCCATTGTTTATAACCAAGAATTCATTTCTCATATATTTGGTATTGCTGGTCAATGTTGGATTTGAAAACTGCCAAAAATAAATTATTAGACTGTGGTATGTGGCATTATTTTTAGGTAAGTAAATTATAATAAGCTGACCCTGCCATTAACTAATGGACCTCCCACGTTTTATCTAGTCTTTGACTCCCAGACTAATGAAAATGAGCCCTGCTGTTACCATTCTGTCTCCACAAAGATTACGATCTAAGTGTTAAATCTACTTGCTTTTTTCTGGTTCCCTCCTACCTTCTCTGTATGGCATTTGACACTCTGATCTTTCCTTCCCAAACTTTCTTCACTTTCATTTCCCTACAAGTCTGTCCCCTTCCACATCCCACATTAAATATTGGTATTTTTTAAGGGTGAATCTTTTTTTAGTGCACATCCTCTTTTGGCATTTTCATCTTGTCCTGAGATTTAAAATATATGTTTGACTCAAACCTTATCTCAAGACTCATATATACAATTTTTTTTACTAAACAACTCCACTGGAGTATTGCAGGTCTTTAATTTGTGGGTGAGTGCTGGAAACTGAACCCAGGGCCTACTGCATGCTATGTATGTGCTCTACCACACCTTTAAAACCCTTCTAGGTCTTTAAACTCCGATTTGTGTCCTCATGAGTTTTATATTTTTAGGTTAATTCATCAATTTCAATTTTGTTTTCTGTTATTCTCAACACTATATATGTTCTTTTCTTATTCTGAGCATGCGTCCACGTTAGCTCCTCCTAAATAGCTCTAATCACTCCTTGGCTATCTCATTTCATATCAAATTTTTACATATTAAACAAATTTATATTTCTAGTCTATATCTAACTACCTACTCTAAATATCCACGTGAGTCTCAAAGTTAAATTCTCTAGTACTAAGCTCCTGTTGTAGCCCTCAATATGCTTTTCCTGCAGTGTGTCCTTCCTCAGCAGCCATGTCCTATTCACAAGTGCTCAAACCAGAGGCCTTGTAATATTTTTCCCATATTCTACATCCAATCCATAGTACATCCTAGTGGTTCTGCTTTCCAAATACATCCCCCAACCACCAGCTAAAAGTGTCATTATTTTCTGCCTATGTAATTAGACATAATGGTCTGCTAAACGGTCTGCTCACTTCTCTTTTCTCCTAAAGTTCTTTCTCATTATAGTAATCAGGATGATCCTGTTCAAACGTAAACCAAAATGCTCCAGTGACTTCCACTCAGAGTAAAATTCAAATCACTAGCCTGGCTCTATGGCTATATATGATATGACTCACCAGTTGGTTTCTCTGGCACCATACTCTGTGGTTCTCTTACTCTCTCCAGCTGCAGGAGCCTCCTTTTTTGTTCTTCATATATAGTAAGCATGTTATGCACTTGTTTATTCTGGAAAATTCTTTCTGTACATATATGCATGCTACATGCCTTGACTCTCCAAGTTTTCACATGAATTTCTCAGTAAAGCCCTTCTTGGTTAACCTAGTTAGACTGTACACACAACCTCAACAAACTCACCTGCCTCTTTTCCTTTGCTTAACTTTTATCCCTAATATTTACTGTCCATTTTTATTCTTTATAAATAAGCTCTACAAAACAGAAATTTTTAACTGTTTGTTTATTGTCAAATTTCTAGAGTCTGTTATAGTCTTTCATAGTATGTGTTACTGCTTATATCTAGATGTCCCTCCAAAGTCTCATGTAGTCACAGGTGGGGCTTTTCTGAAGTGACTGGCTAGGGTGTTAATGTTATGCTGGATTAAGAATGTGATGCTAGGATTAAGGGTACCTCACCCTAGATCAACAGGTTCATAGAATAGATGGAATATAAAGAGGCAGATAGAAGGCAGGCCTGCTGTTGCTGCTGCTGCCTCCTGCCTGCTCTGTGATACCCCTCTGCTATGCCTCTCTGCCCTGCAGCCAACCAATTATGGACCGAAACCTCTACAGTATGCTGAGATAAACTTTTCTTCTTTAACTTTGGGTACTGAGTATGTTGTTTCAGCAATAAGAAGAGTAACTAAGGCAGTACATACCGAAAAATCATTTATGATACAAATAAATTAGCTGGGTGAGAGCTATGATAATAGTTTTTTGCCTCAAGTACTAAAAATTATTTTTTGCCTGAAGTTCTAAAAATTATTAATTTATTCTGTGATGAAGTGGTAAGTACATAAAAAAGGTCCTAAAGACACTTGCAGTGAATCTGCAAAGTCAAATTATTTCCACAACAATACTAGATTATTATTTGCCTTTTTGTATTCTGCCAACAGGGAAAAAGTAAGGCAAAACTGCTGGACCTTGGCCTGAATCTAGGTAGTGGCAAAAATATACTAGTAGTCACTATATTTTTCACTAATACATATTCACAATAAAAAACAAACCAATAAATCAGTCAATGAATTAAAAAAAAATAAGGCAATTTCAATTAAGAATATCGTTGTTACCCAGGTATGGTGGCAACACGGATGTAATCCCAACACTCTAAGAGACTGAGTTAGGAGCACCACAAATTTGAGCCCAGCTGAACAACTTAGCAAAATTCTATCTGAACATAAAAATAAAAAGGGCTGAAGATGTACTCAGTGCAAAGGCCTTGGGTTCAATCTCCATTACTATACACATATATACAGAATATCCTTGTTGAAGTACTAAAAATTATTAATTTACTCTGTAATGAGGTGGTAAGTATATAAAAAAAGAGTTCTAACTAGTAAAACTAATGGCTTCAAAAAAAAAAAAAAAAAAAAGATCATGAATGTGACTGCTACAAGCTGACCAACCACTTTTTTTATTTTAAAGAGGATAAAACAGAATAAAATCAATCAAAACAAGCCAGTGTAAGAGATACAGAACTTCAAAACATTATGAAACCAGTAATAGTTACCACAATGCCTTTGGAAGTCTCAAAATAGCTGCAGATAACTTCAGACATAGTAAAAATAAAACAGAACAGAATAGAATAGAAACAATAAAAAAAAAAAAACAATGAATGCAACAAAGGACTTCCTAACAAGCCAATAGTAAATCCAAAATTACTACCATAATATATCTTTGCTATCTTTGAAATAGTTGCTCCCGCCATCAGATTTAACATAATAAAAAAAAAAAGAGAGAGAGAACAAAATCCAAACCAACAAAACAATGGAAATGATATAGAATTTCAAAACAAGATCATAGGGAATCAACAATGGCTACAACCTTCAGAAGATCCCCCCAGATGTCACACTGAGTACCAGTACGCTCTGAAGCTATATCAGACCACTGGCCCTAGACCTGCAATGTTAGTGAAACACCCAGCACCACAGGTGTCCAACTGCATTTCACCTCAATAGCTACCATCATAGCCTGTGTTTCTCTGGGTAAGCCGATCACTTATGGAGGTGCGTAGGGCTGGTACTTTTGTTTGCCAGCCCACACACTAGAAGGAGCTAAAGGGCTGGGGTCTGGCTGTTCTAGTCCGCCAGCCGCCCGTGCATGGTGCTGGTTCACAGACTGGGCTTGCTTCCTGCTGTGGCCTTGTTCTCTCCGATGCCAGGCCATCAATGGCGCTGACTCACAGGGAGAAGCGACAGTCTGGCTGTTCCGGGTCCAGTAGCGGCCTACACATGGCACTGCTTTCCAGACTGGGCTTGCTTCCTGGTGAGGCCTTGCTCTTTCTGCCCCAGTGGGTGAATGTTGCTGACTCGCAGCAAGAGGTTGGGGTTAGGCTGTTCCCAATCTGGTGCCACTTTTTTTTTTTTTTTTTTTTTTAATAAATACTACTTGAAATAATGACTGACAAACTACTGTTATTTAGGCATGGATATTCATAAACACTTTCTTAAAAGTATACAAAGTAAGCTTTTCATTTCAAACAAAACACTTGACAATATAGATTACAAATGAAAAAGTGGAGACTTTGAGTAAAAATTAGAATTTAAAAAACCTTGTATCTACCATCATGAACACAACTTTTTCAGGTGAAGTAATATTAAAAAAAAACACATTTATCTGAAAAGGCCATCAAAAAACTCTTTCCTTTTTCAGTTACTAACTTGTATGAAGGGAGAGTTTCTTCACATACCTCAACTAAAATAACATTGCAACACAGTAAATGCAGAACACATGAAACCATGCTATCTTCTACTAAGTGATATTAATCAAAAGAAAAATACTGCATGTTCTCATTTATACATGAAGCCAAAAGGCTGATCTTAAAGGTATAGAGTTAAAGTAAAAGTGGCTACCAGAGCCTGAGAAGGGTGTCGGGGCAGGGAGAGCAGAGTGTGGCTAAGACTTTCAGTGGTGCAGCTGTTCCATAGCACAGCAGGACAAATACGCTGACAACTGAGTATTCCAAAATAGCTAGCAGAGAGAATTTTGTATATTTCCAACACAAAGAAATGAAAAATACTGGAGGATATGGACATGGTATTCCCCTGATTTGATCATTATACATTGTATATACATACAGAAACGTCACACTGTATATACCCTACAAATATGTGTAATCACTATGTATCAATTAAAAACAAATAAATAGGAAAAAAGTACTATGGCTATATCCAAAAAAACTGCAAAACTAAAATGATGCTACTTTTCTCATTTAAAAAAACTGTACTTTGCTTTGGAGGATACAATTATAAAATTACATTTAAAATTATATTAAAATGTACTTGATTTATTATTTTTAATAATTTACATATTTTAAAAATTTTCTTAGTTTTAATTTTTACTAGTGGCTAATGATAGTGAGCATCTTTCTTATGTGCTATTGGCTTTTTGTTAATATTCTTTGGATCAATGTCTACTCAAGTTTCTTGCCTTTTAAAAAACTGGATTATTTGTCTTTTTATGGTTGAGTTATAAGACTGCTTTATATAGCCTAGATACAAGTCTTTTATCAGATACATGATTTGTAAATAGTTCTCCCATTCTACAAATGTCTTATCTCTTTCTTAATGGAATCCTTTGCAGAACAAAAGTTTTTACTTTTGAAGAAGTCCAGTTATTCTGTTTTTGATTTTTTTTTATTACTGGGTGCTCAGGTTCAAACTGATAGCTGCTGCCCAAGAACATGGAAGACAATCTTTTGTGAAAAAATAAAATAGCTTCATTTAAACCTAACTCCAAAGGCAATGGAAGGGCCTCTTACTGCATCAAATCACCGTCTCACCCTGTTCAGGTGTGTAAGGGCTCTTATGGGGGAGCTGCACAATGAGACAATATACAAGGAAATTCCTATGTAGCTTCATCCCCTGTCCACTGGCTCCTCTCCTTTGTGAAATGAAACAGACTGCAACCTCTGGGGGCCAGCATATGCACACTCCCTTCAGGCATATGTGCTAGTTTTGAGTCCCTTCTTCATGTGAGTTGAGGAAGGGTTGGGGGATTGCATCTCAGCCTGAGAAAGTTTGGAGAAGTAGATCAATTTTTAAAAATTTTTTTGATTACATTCTTGTATCATACCTAACACATGTGTAGCTTTCTAGAGTAGTAATTAACTTTTCTAGAATGACTATATGATCATACACACTCACCAGCAACATATAAGCAGTCCAGTTTCTTTGCATCCTTTCCATTTGAGTTGGCATTTTATTTTGGTCATTTATTAAGGTGCAATTAAATGTCAACTCCATTCTTTACTTTCTAGGACTAAGCCCTACCCATTTCTCTTTCCATTTCTGTTCTCTATCATCCAGATCCAAGCAAAGCTAACTGCCCCTCATTTATGTTCTCATAATCCCTTACATCAATCACCACTAAATCTATTAATGTATTACACTTTGTATTTATATGTCTGTTTATATTGGACTGCCTTTCTTCACTGTAAAACTTACAGAGAGATCCATGGGCCTCCTGAAATTATATAAAACATTCTGTTTAAATATGTACATGCATACTTTTTAAGAAAGGGAAGAGTCAATAATGGAAATAGGTTTATAATCACTTCAATAGAAAAACTCTGTCAATAACAAGCATTTCAGACTAAGAGAACTCAACAAATTTCTTAACATGAGTTGCTGTTTAGGGAAAAAAGTTATCTCACTCAAAATCGCTTTACATTTTACAGATATCTGACTTCCAACAATAACTACTAATTTACTTTCAATCAAAAAGATTCACTTCCAGTCATAATTGAATGGTTAGCATCTATTTGGAGTATAATGATGAGAAATTTTTTTGCAACGCATTTAATAAGTAACAGTTGATTCTTCTAATTTCATTTCAAATTGTTGCTTTCAACATCTTAGACATATTTAATAAAAATGACTAACAATTGCTCTTACTAATTTGTTCTACTCTATCATCATGGTTATCATTCACTCATATCATTAGAAAAACTACTTTTTAACTTTCACAGCATTGCTCATAATTAAATGTACTCTTTGCTCTATACATCTCAAATTCCGCCACAACAGATACGGTTACCAATCTGTTTTCATAGCATTATGAGATACACTAGGAATGAAAGGAATTTGAGGCTCGTCTTAAAGATGATTTCCAAGAGACAACAACAAACAAACAAAAGTTTTCTGGGCTGGGGGTTTAGCTCAGCAGTGTAAGTGCCTGCTTGGCAAATGCGAGGTCATGAGTTCAAACCATGGTACCAAAAAAAAAAAAAAAAAAAAAAAAAGAAATTGATGTCTTTGTATCCATGGTCCCAGAGTATAGAGATCAAGTAACAGAAGTTCATTATAACTTTTAAAAATGCAAAAATGAATCCTTTATTTTATTAAAGAAGGCCTTAGACATGAAGTGTACTCATTTTAAGAGACTTAAATTGTTCTATGTCTAGGTACATTCACTTTTGACAACCTTTACTAGATGAAAAGATGGCAAAAACAAAACGCGCATGCGAAAGACAGGATAAAAGGAGAAAGTTTGAATCACTCAGTTGAGAAATAAGTTATTCATCAAAAACAGTAACATGAGGACTACAACTGATGGAAATCACACTAATTAGAAATCATTTACCCTCCTCTTCCAAACCCAGCTGTTAAACAGATGTCTCTAAAAACAAAACAGAAGCCATCATGTCAACATACTGCCCATCTTATGGAACCTTTCAAAAAAAAAGATGTGAGATGAATCTAAGTTGGACTTCACTCTTTAATGGGAGCTGTGCACAAGTAGCTATATAAATAACTGATTAATGATCAAACACTGACATGCCCAGTGACACAGAAAGTTTGGCAAGATACTATACAAAGGTAATGCTCTTACTTGAGAGGATGCTTGTTTGTAGAGGGCAAAGTTTTGCTCTGTTTTGGAATATTGTTATTATAAGAAGCACCACCCTTTAGTGGAAAATAAGACTGTTAGTGAGCCCTTCAAATTTATCAAAAGATTGTGAGTTCTAGCATTCACAAGAGACCATAAAAAAAGATCTTGAAAGATCTCCTACAAACACAGAACTTAAAAAAATGTATAGGATGATGTGAAATTACATACATATATAGATGATAATCTATCTATCTATCTATCTATCTATCTATCTATCTATCTATCTATCATCTCCTAGTCCCTGGCACAGAGTTCCTAGAATGCTTATAATTTCCTGAGTTCTTAGGAATGTCTGACACAGCATTTCCAAAACCCCTAGAAATTTCCTAGGTCGAGACTGCTCTTGGTAGGCTCCTAGATGAGGGCTGGTCAACTGAAAGACCAAGCCATACTCCTAAATTTGGTGCTTTTTGCCCTGTCTCCCATTTCTCTGGAGAGAGAAAAGGGTCTATAAATATAGTTAGTAATTGATCATGCTATGTGATGAAGCCTTCATAAAAATTCCAGAACTGTGGGATTCAGTGAACTTCCAATTGCTAAGCATATGGAGGTGGCTGGCAGTGGCATGCCCACACAGGGCATGGAAGACCCTTTCCTATTTACCTTGCTCTATAAACCTCTCTGAATTTGCTGTTCATCTGTATCCTGCATAATATTATGTTAAATGGTTAAAATGGTTAAATGAACCACTATGGCAACCTGATTATGTAGGGGGTTGTGGAAATCCTGTTTTATAACCAGTCAGTCAGTTGGAAGGCACCTGGGGCATGAGACTGACATCTAAAGTGGAGATAGTCTTGTGGGACTGAGCCTTGAGTCAGTGGGAGTTGATGCTCCAGGCAGATAGCATCAAAACTGAGTTAAATTTCAGGACATGTAGTCAGTGTCCGCTTGGTTGGTAACCACACACATTTTGGTAACCACAGGAGAAGTGTTGTGTTGAGTGACTGTGAGAGAAGACAGGGTAGTTTGTTTTCTACTTGGAAAATCTGAAATGCCTAAATGAAATATTTTGCCAATTATAATTATAAAGTGGGGTGATAAACTAAAGAGGAGAACAAAAACCTTTTAGAAAAAAAAAGATACTACGCAAAATCCCCACTGGAGAAAGTCTCTAGTAAGCCAATGCTAGATAGTAAAGGGAAGTAAAGATATTCAACTGACTAATCTTAACCTCTTCGTTTCAACATGCTTAAAACTATTAAGCAAAAATGCCAAATTTTTTCTATTTTCCAACTCTTGCTATACCCATGTGTTTTAATTACTTTTGTCATAGCTGAGACAAAATACCCAACACCCCCAATTTTTTTTTTTTTGTCTTTTTCCTTTTTATCGGTACCGGGGATCGAACTCACGACTGCCTGCTTGCAAGGCCCAACACCCAAAATTAAAGGGGGAAAAGTTTATTAGCTCAGTTTGTAGAGGTTTTACTCTATAGTTGGCTAGCTGTAAGACAGGCTAACAAGGCTGAGGGGCAACAGTTCATGGCAGGTAGAAAGAAGGTAGCCAAAGCAACAAGGGACCTTAACAGTGTCTTTCTGCCCCTTTTGTCTTATCTAGACTACTTAGGGAAGGTAGCACTCACACCTTTAATCCTAGTGCCTTCAATCCTAGCATTGCACAATGAATCAATTCCCAAATCTAGATCTAGCCACTTCTGCAAAAGTCCCACCTATGACTTTGGCTTTGGGGGGACATCAAGACACAAGCCATAACATTCTATCCCAGAGCCCCTAAAGACTTATGCATATTCCTTTATGCAAAAAGCATCTAGTCCCTCTCAAGAGTTGCCAGAATCCTAACATTTTCAGCATTGCTGGAAAGTCCACGTCTGAAGTCTTCTCTGAGATTTAAGGCAAACTCTTAGCTGCAAGCTGCTGTACAAATGAAAAGAAAGCTAAATATTTCTGACATTCAGTGGCACAAGATAAGATATTTCCATTCCAAAAGTTACAGGTGGGGACAGAAGGAATGGGACCAAAGCAAGTCCAAAATCCAGGAGAGAAACATGAAATCCTACAATTCACTTCCAGCATCCCCAGTGATCTGTAGCAAGTTGTGAACTACAAAGGGCTTAGGTGGCTCTGCCCCTGTGGCACCTCTGGTGGTTATACCTCCCATGGCTTATTTCTTTGGCTACCTTTGCACACTCTCTGAAGCTTTCCTTGGATGATGTACATTCCTGGCTTCTGCGAACTTCTGAGGTCTCCAGTACAACTTTGGCTTCACATTCACAGCTTCATACACTGCCTTCTTGGGAGCACACTGCCTGCAATCCCAGGCCTTCTTCTGAAATCTGGGTGGAAGCCTTCTTCACCCCACAACACTCGCCTTCTATATGAACTAAAACCAGCAACACATAGATGATGCCAGCTAACGTAGTAGTCAGGCTTTCCTCTCTCTTGGTTGCAGGGGTCGAGAGCCTGGATCACTGAGTACTCTGAGACAAATCCTGAGGAATGAACTTTCTAGGCCACCAATATTCTGAATTACGGTGCTCTAAGGCTCTCTTCTCAAAGCGAATTCTTTCACCTTAGTGATTTTGAGGTTGCAAAGGCCTGAGTCCTGCTGGTTTTTCTGATATCTTCAGGCTATCTTTTCTGTTATCTTCTTATGAACTTGGCTTTTTCCTTGCTATACTTTTCAGTGACCAGGTTCTCCTCTGTTCCATCTTTGCAGGCCGCAACTTTTCTAGAGCTTCTTTTAAATCTTCCTTTCAGGCTCTTTGCTCTTGATTCTCAATACAAATCTGGTTAAAAGTCCCCAACAGTAGCCGTGCTACAACTTCAACATTAGAATGCCTTGAAATTTCTTCTGCAAGATTAATTAGCCCAATACCCTTAACTTTAGTCTCAGGTGAAGTCTCTGGAACAAGTACAATGCAGACAAACTTTCACCCAAGCTAGAACACACACAGTCTGGAGTCCAATAACCAGTGCAATCTTTCTTCCCAGGAGAAAGCTCCTAAGCCCAGTCTTTACCAACAGATTTTTAAAATCAGCTTTCTGGTCTTCTGAGCTCTGAATAGAATCTCCTATCAAGTACAGGCTAAGGTGTCCCAGCTCTATTCTTTCAGGAAGCATCTTTGAATCTTTACAACCTCTTCCTACAAGCCAGTCCCAAAGGCCCCTGAACCACATAGTCAGGAATAGTCACAGCAATAACCCCACACTCTGGTACCAAATTCTGTTTTAGTTACTTTTCTTATGACTGAGACAAAATACCTGACACTCAAAGTTAAAGGAGGAAACGCTTATGTAGCTCACAGTCTACAGATGTTTCGGTCCATAGCTGGCTGGCTCCCAGGCAGGATGGCACAAGCAGGAGGATAATAGTTCATGGTGGACAGAAGGTAGCTAAAACAACAAGCAACCGTGAGAGCATCTTTCTGCCTCTTTTATCTTATCCAGACTACGTAGAGCAGGTAGCACTCACACCCTTACTTCTAGCATCCTTAATCCTAGCATTGCACCATGAATCAATTCCAGTGTTACACATTCTAGATCCAGGCGCCTCCAAAAGAGCCCCATCTGTGACCACATGAGGCTTTCGGGGGTATATCTAAACATAAGCCAATACAATGTAACATTGAAACACCATATCAATATAGAATGTACTGAAATGAGGACATTCAATAAACTGCAAATCTGGTTGCAACTTCACCAACCTTACAATCCTGTACAATTCTTCCTGAATTTTAATAAACTCTTATTACCTCCTGTCTTTGACACCACATCCTTTCATGCACTTAACTTTGCAATGAGGTTCCCTGTGTCTGGAATGTCTTTTTTTTTTTTTTTTCCTGTGACGGGAAAACCAATACCAAAATGAATCCAGCAATGACTTAGACCTAGCTGTATCAAGCACAATTTTATTCCAATATTCCAACAACCTTCAAATAAAAAAAAAAGTATTTCTAAAATTATCAAGTGACACTGAGATGGTAAAATTGAAAAGTAAAATTCATTTACGAAAGGTATTTGATCAAATTGCTGAGAGTAATGGATTCTGCCCACTACCTAAGTAGATTTCTGGAATATCCCTAAATAAAAGGAAATCAATATCCAACAACTTAATAAACATAATTATCTATCAGGAAATATATGTTAACGCATTTCTGCTCTCTTTTTTTGTGTACTTCTGGTCAGAAAGGTACACTGTGTTTTTAGCACTTTAAGTCACAAATGATCAGAACAATAAAAAAGTGTCATCATAAGTAATCTGTAGAGCCTACAATTTCTATGAATGACAAACAAGTAATCAATTGTAAAAAAGTAAGATCAAAAGATGATTGCAAATCAAAGTGAACTAAAGTAACTTCATATCAATAATGAAAATTACTTCAAATTTATCAGTTAGACTCTAAAATGTAATTATGTGAACAACCCTAATAATCACATGTTAAAATCAAAACAGGTAGAAATCAATAAGATATGTGGTCTTATATATCAGTAATTATTCTTGTATATTGTAAGTTAGGAATAGTGGGAAATTTCTTCTAAATCTTTGTATCTATTGTTTTCATGGCTCCTAGAAAATGCCTTCTTTATGAATAAAATTTTTAATTAAATAATTTTCTATATTAACAAAAATAACATAAATATATGATACACCACTACGGACAGAAGATCCAAGAATGACCACTGTATGATCTTCTCACAACTCTGAGAATACAAAACTTTGATAAGAAATAAAAATCTCTCTAATGTAGAATGTTGAATGATAGACTATAACATTAATGTGCAACTATATTATAGAATGTTACATTAATATTTCAAAAACTATTAATATGAAACCAATAGCTTAAGACATACTTAAGTTCTGTTAGTAAATGCTGAGAATGAAGAATGTATCAATATTAACTAGTTTTAAAAATTGCTTCACATAAGTTGATAAAATATTTCATATATATGACAAATACAACCTATTTTATAATCGGTAAGAATAATGTTTGTTGGTTAACAGGACAGAAATATGTACAAGTGAATGACATAATGGTTTATAAAATATCATAATAATGTTAGGATTGTACATTAAAAGTACTTTTAGACATAGGTTAATAGGAGTATTAATAATAACAGAACACAAGAACATGTACAGAAAGAGCTTTATATACATTCAAACAAAACAGATAAATAAAACATCAGAATATATTAACCAATAAAACAGTACCATTTTATGGTTTAATAAAAAAATACTGCATCCTGAAAAATCAAGATCATATCTAAGAAAATAAATCAGCCACTAATCTGAAAGAATAGTATAGCTTAAAATTTCCAAACTATTTCAGAGTAAATTTAGTTAATCTAGAACTTAGTGAAGTTTTAAAGAGATTAAACTACATAATTAAAGGAGTAACTACATTCTGGCATTAATTCATTAAAAGGAACATCAATAAGCTTTTTATATAAATATAGGTTTAAAATGTTCAAATTAATTTAAGAGGTCAAACATATAACATTACTGTAAAATAACACTAAAATCCTCAGATTTATTTTATATGCAGAACCTTTAAATTTAACCTTTTATAATAAATTTAAATGCTTTCTAAGGTAGAAATGGGAAAACTAAAAGGAATATGAATAACGTAATATTTCTATGACAGCTTCTGTAGCTTTTGCTTTTATTTAAAAGTTTTTATTTTTCAGCTTACAATGTCATTCTTTAATTTTCTGTTTCAAATCTCAACAACTAAATTTTTCTTCTATAGCTAATGATAGTTTTTTCCCCCAAACTTTTATGCAATGAGCATGTCTCGAAGCCACGCATGGTCACACATGTCTATATTCTCAGCACTGGGGAGGCAAGAGGATCCCTGTGACTTAGAGGCTAGTCTGGGATACACACTGAACATGTCTTACATGCTTTAGCTAATGCTTAAGTTCATGTGTCTCTAAATATAGACACATGACACTAGCTGGTCTTTAGAGTTCTATCAATACAATGAGAGAGAGTTTAGGGGCTGGGATTTAGCTTAGTAGCGTAAGTGCAAGGTTGTGAGTTTGATCCCTGATACAAAAAACAAACAAACAAACAAAACAAAGCGGAAAAGAGTTTAAATGCAAAACATTATGTATGATGTATCAGCTTCTTATTGAAAATACTGACCTCTAATGCAACAAGTTCATAAAAATGGTTTTCTAAGAGATGCCTTTTCGTGTTGTTATTTATAAGTAAAATTTGTGTACAACTCCTCAAAGATAACAATACAGTCTGTCAAGTTTCTTCAGTTCTAAATAACAGTAGTACTGGAATAAGCTGTAGAATATGTAAGTAATGGATTAAAAAATTCTGTGGCTGTTCTTTATGCATAAAATATAGAAAAATAGCAGAGAAAAGTTTCATCAATGTACAAGGAGTAGAGGAATTAAATACTGGAGTGTTGAGTTCACTGTGCTTCATCTATTTAACTATTTAAAATACATAAAATAATGTTTACTCAAAATGTTTTGTATAGACAAATATAATAAATATAAATATAGATTTACTTGTAAGGTTTAATAAACTTAAAGGAGTGCCTAAGTGCTAAACAAACTAATTTTTAAGGATTTAAGAAACTAACTTCTTACATATAGAAATCTGGAAGGGCAACTAAAGCAGTATGTTCATGAGTACAAAGAATCTGTTTAGAAAAGCGAGTTCCAGATTCTTTACTCTTTAACAGACTTATTTCTACCTAACCCTTGGTTAGAAAAACAGTACAGAATTACTCAGGTTGCTAACAGGGTAACAGAGTTGTTTTTAACTGGGCTATTACAGCATAAGGATCAGTACAGATGTTTGCAATAACCTGCAGCTGGTACTGGGTGAATATTGAAATCACAGAAAACATTACAGGAGAACTGTCTGGAGTGTCTTAAAATAGTCACCATACTGTGATATGAAAAGAAAATTAAAGCTGGGAAATCGTGTAAAAACTTAATCAGCCTCTATTCTGAGTCAGCTTTGTAGATGTCCATCAGCATTGTTACATACCCTTCAGTACAGCTACACTCATATGGACATGCTGAGTTGTAATAAAGTGAAACAACAGAACTCAGTGGAACCACAGCATTTCTTTGAGAACAGCCTGATAGGTATGCTAAGGGGCAGGTTTGGCCCTCTATTCCTCCAGGCATTTTCCGTTCCAAAGATAATTTAGACTTTGACCTTGGTCCACAAAATTAAGCCTCTCTGAGTGGCTTTTACAGAATTGTAGATTAGGAACTGGATGACACTGGGCATGGAGGTTCACATCTGTAACCCTAGCACTTGGGAGGCTGAATCAGGAAGACTGCTGTGAATTTGCGGCCGGCCTCAGCTACATGATGTTTTCAGTGAGTTCAAGGATAGTGAGACCCTGTCTCAAGAAAAAAAAAAAAAAATCTACATTTAATAGTGTACCATGTCTCCAAAATACCATTATAAGAGGCTTTGGCTCTGCTCAGCAATCTTAGTTTTAGAATATTGTTTGTTTAGTAGAAATAATTTGTGAGCCATAAATGGAAGCCAGAGATGTAACTCTAAAACTTAAGTGCATACAACAAAAGTAAAAAGAAATGGGTGAAACTGATTTTAGTAATTACTTTAACCCTTATGCCCAAAATATTATTATTCAACATGTAGTCAACATAACGACTGCTGTGCATTGTACTTTATACTTACAGCACATTTAAATTAGGGCTAGTCATATTTCAAGTCCATTGGCTGCTGTATTAACTACAATTTTAGAGAATAAACTTCTTTTGGGAAATGGCCCTTTCAGCTTCCTTCCTAAGAAAAACTATGGCCCCTCAGCTTTCGCTCTTTACTCTGTGACTGTTTAGAAGCAAGAACCATGAGAAATCCACTTAGCAGTTTTATGGTAGAAAAGGGGCTGGGGGTCATAGAATATTTTAAGCCCACATAGCAGAAGTGAAATAAATAGGTTTTTGTACTAGAGCTTTCCTGGCCCATCCAATTGCTCTAATAGCACCGTCTAACACCAATACAAAGGGCATTACTGATGATGCAGAAAAATTCCTCTCTAGATAGATGTGAAGCTGGGGTGTACTGAAGTTTCTGGGCTTTGTTTTAGTAGGCAGCAATTTTTATGAACAAATAAAGTCATATTTAAAATATAAACTTATGTGTTACTTTTTTTTTGAACAGGGAATTAAAACTCTGAACCTCACTTTTTAAAATATAATGTTCACCAAAATAAAAATACATTCCATTCTGGCACAGATGCACATCAACTGCTCAAAATAAAATGCACTACTTGGAGAGGATGTTATATTAATCTATTGAAATTTATGGGCTTGGCCCCCACCTCCTTTTGGTTTTCGGAGATAGAATTTTGCTATGTAGTTCAAGCTGGTCTTGAATTCTCTGGCCTCAAACTTGTGGTGATCCTCCTGCCTCAGCCTTCTTACTGTTGCATTTATAGGCGTGTGGTCTATATATTTGTAAAGGTTTTTAAATATAATTTAAAAACCATGCCTAGATGGTCTATATATTTGTAAAGGTTTTTAAATATAATTTCATTTATTGATAGTACGAAGGTAGGAGAGTGCAGTTAAAACAGCACTACTCACTACCCTATAATAGATTTGACAATTTGATTTCTAGACTTTGCTTTGGGACAATTAAGTTGTATGATGTTCTGTAACTTTCTGGGCCTAAATTCCTCCACCTGTAAAGTAAGGGGATTGGAACTATACCTCTAAGTCTCAAAAATTTAATGAGAAAACTATATATATTATTCAAGAATTTCAAAATGCTTTACACTTCAAAAGTAGGATTATTTAAAGCAAATATTATTTTCAATGTACTGTTGAAAAACTTTGTAAAAAAAAAAAATTCAACAATAAAGCTGAAATGAATGGCCAAATTGTAAAAGAAATCTAATTCTCCTTAAAGCCGATTCAATTCCTGTTCAGCAGTTTCAGAAAATTTTTTACCAGTAAGTAAAAATAACACTTGACATTCTCTATGTGAAAGAACTTGTTCAACTCTGCCCAGTAGGGAAATATTTTAAATTTAAATGACTGGAACACTAAGCTTCACTGATAAAGTTCTGCTACTGACATTTAGGAACCCAAAGACTCATCAAAATAAAGAAAACAAAGAAAAAAACATATAATTATCTAGAAGAGAGCGCAACTGTTGATGAAAAGACAAGTAAAGAGCTGAGTGTGGTGATGGCTATCTGTGATCCCAGAGCAGGAGGGCGCTGTGAGATGAAGGCAAGCCGGGGAGGAGGACAAATGAAACTTCTATAAAACCTGCTTCCCACAGGTAATTTCTGTTCAAGGTGGGCAATTATTTATATGTGTTAATCATATACTGTTCTCATGTTTAAAAAAATAAAAGAGTCCAACAAGTTTCTGTAACTCACTAGGCCCTTTGTGTTTTCAAAAAGATCAGTAGTTGTGTTTACATGGTACTGGGGCTTGAAGCCAAGGCTTCACACATGCTAGGTAAGCACAATGTCCCTGAATCACACTCCAAAAACTTTTAAATTTTTAGACAGGTCTGGGTAAGTTTCCCAGGCTGGCCTTGGGTGTGCAATCCTCTTGCCTCAGCCACCTAAGTGTAAGTGGCTGCAATTACAGTCGTGGCTACTGTGCAGTGCCACTAAAATTATTTTTAATTCCTTATAATGTAAAACAGCATTTTCAGAAATGTCTAAATGTTTATAGAAACCAGGAGTCTCTCCTACTCATAACAAACCACAGATGCAGAAACAACGCATGGGATGAGTCTGAGATAATGTGATCGCTCCCTTCCCTTCCCTCCCCTTCCTTCTCCCTCCCGCCTTCTCTCTCTTCATTCCTTCATTCTTCCTAGCTGTCCTGGCACCAGGGACCAAACCTAGGGCCTCAAGTGTGCTAGGTAAGTACTCTCCTCATGAACTACACTCTTGTCCTGTTGGACATGCTTTATAGATAAATTAAACACTTTACTGAGGAAGAGGAGAGGATAAAGCGTTAAATTATGAAACAATTACACTTATATTAAAAGCAGAATAGCCCTGGGGGTGTGAGCTCAGGGGTAGACCCTTGCCTAACTGTGGGAGGTCCTGAGTTTGATTCCCAGAACAGAAGAAAAAAACTAAAGAGTGAAATTTTATATAATTATTTAGACATTCTCATAGTGTTCTGTTCACATGCTCTTCTTGTTACTGTGTCTCTAATTTCTCATTCTAACAAAAACAAATATTAGTTTTAGACAAGTATTCTCAAAATTAGGAAAGAGAGATTTAAGAATCTTTAGAAGACAAAATGAATGGGGACGTATCTGGATCTAGAGATAGTAAATAAATGTATAATATTAAAGCAGATTAGATATACTTATGTATATGTTATGCAAAAAGTGCATATATTATCTTATTATAATACACAAATACATATGCATCTTTAAAATAAATTAAATATATGAATTTATTAAGTAAATTTAAAATAAAATAAAAATTGTTGTCTTTGAGACAGAGTCTCACTATACAGTTTAGGCCAGCCTTGAGCTCACTTTGTAGCCCAGGATGGTCTCAAACTTGCAACTATCCTCCTGCCTCAGCCTTGTGAGTCCTGAGATTACAGGTGTGCACCACCACAACCTGGATGTTTCAATAATTTTATTAGACTAGTGAGCTACGATTTTTTCCCCATTTGCAATTTCTGAGCAGTGAGGCTATCCTTTCCAAAAATTTTTTATTTTAATTGGTCAAATATATTTATCTATTGGTGGCTCAAATCATGTAATTAGAATTTCATGAAAATACAGTATGATAAGTTATTAGAAACTACCAAAAAAAGTTGCCCCTGAAAATCAAGAAATAGTTTATAAACAACCAATTTTTTTTTAAAATTCTAAGTTTAAAAATCTAAGAACTTAAACATTATGGATATGATTTAAGAAAGCTATTTCATCATTTTTTAGTCTGTTGGCTACGACCAAGTATAGAAAAGTATTTTACTGATTTTGAAAAATTCAGAACTATTAACCTTGAAGTTTCCAATCAAATATTAGCAGTGTTTATGAATTACAGAAAGAATTTAACACTAAAATCATTTAATTCCAAAATGAGTCTTTAATACTTCTTTTAAAAAATGTATATACACTTCAGGAAAAGCAAAATAGTATGATGTTTTTACAGCAGAAAGTGTTAGTTTCATATGGGGGATGCTAAAGGATGTGGTGTATCACAGAAAACCCTCTACTCTGCTGGCACCTAAGAGAAGAAACTGAAAATGCATGGGTAGCAATCTTAATGACCAAAGTGACAACCTGCATTAATTTCATGATATGTCAATCAATTTAGTATTAAAATAGTTATACAATGTTTTCCTTTCCAGAATTGTGTATATATTTTTTGGTAGACTAGAAATATTCATATTTTGTCTGTCTGCCTGTCTCTCTGTCTTTTCAACAGGGACAAAATGGGGCTTTACTTCTCTGGTATTAATAGCAGACAAATGATTCATACTGAATACCAAGTTTAACATAGTTCCTAAAGTAAGTTTATTACTATAAAAGTTTTTCCAACCATTTGCAATAAAGGGGAAAATCACAAAGGAATTGCTGCAAAAGTAGGTACTGTATAAAAAGATTCCACCAACAATTTAGTGATATAGTGTTAGAACAAAGAACAAAATGCAAATGTCAAAAATCTTTAACTACAAAAGACTTGCATATTTTCTTAGCAAAAAAAAAAAAAAAAAAAAAAAAAAAAAGCCTGGGATTACAAACAGTTTATATGCAACCTACTTTCAAGATCTTTATGTGGGAAAGAAATCTCCATAGGAAATACATTCTCATGTCTTACACATACAAAAAAAATAATAATGTAATCCTTCATAATTTTCCTACAAAAAATTCATTTGACAACTAATGTGCTTGCTTTGGCAGTACATATACTAAAATTGGAACAAGAAATAATTTATTGCATGCAAATAATAAATATATTTAAAAGATTATGGATATACTTTATAATGCTAAATTTAAAATATCATAAGAACTCAGGGCATGGTCCAGTTAGCTAAATGGGAAAAGAATTGTCAATTGTGCTCAGAAATAATCGTGGCTACATATAATAGGGCATCAAAAATAATTCCTACCCTTTTATAAAATTTATATAGTGTCCACAGATAATGCTGAGTGACGAATATCCTCAAATTATGCTGAGACAAAGATGTTTTGAAGAAATACATTTGGCTAATGTGCCTTTGCCATCAGAAACGAAATTCTGAATAAAAAGTATTTTTGAACAAGTGTTTATTCATCACATCCACATAAGCTACTACTCTCCGTGGTGCATGAGGTGACTCACAGTGCAATAATTTACCTTACCTGAAAATGAAATCTGGAAATGATAAACTACTACAGAGTGAGCTCAAGGCCAGTTTGAACTACACAGCAAGACAAGACAAAAATACTAAAAAAGGATTTTTCCTCAACAAGGCAGAGAGAAGATGAGAGAGGAGATGAACCAGTTGCATTTTAGAATCTTTAGAGAATGACTCAGATGATGGAAAAGGGAAATTCTAATGGCAGCCTGTAAGAAACAGCTTAAGAGACAAAAGGAGAAGAGACATGAAAATCAACTACGGGAGAAAAAAAGTAAATGTGACATAAAGCTTGAAGGATTTATTATGGACTTGTGAGAAAGTGGATATGAAGAAATTCTAAACTGTGAGAAAAGGAAGCTGAGAGACGCTGAAATGGTAGAAGTTTATGTAAGGAAGTCATTTTTCAGATTTTGTTTCCTTCTAAGAAAGCAGAAACCCATTTTTCTAGAAAAATTAAAATCGATTCTCATCCGTTGAAAACTAGCAAGGAAGAGGAGGGAAACCCCATATTTCTGAAAATTAAAGTTCAGTTACGCACAGTAGGCCATTAGAATTTTAAAATTACATTTTATTTCAATCTGCTAGTCATACAATGACAAACACATACCTTTAAACTCCTTTCTTTGCAAAAAAAAGCCAATGATAATGTAAAAGGAACATACGAGTTTTGAACAAGTAACATTTAGCAGAACATAAGGAAGAGCTTCATTTAATTTTCTATAAACTGGCTTTTAAGTAATCTCTTGGAACTATTCAATGTCATCAATGTAATAAGGAAACTTGGACCAATGTTTACTTACAAAGCTGCTTTTTAAAATGGCAGTCCTTTCTATTTGGCTAATCTTACTACGTTCTATCAGACAGTTTCTCTCCATTGTCCCCTGAAAGGAAAAATCAAAATTTATACTAAAAGAGGATTTAGCATGTGTAAGCTCCATGAAATTGTAACTAAAAAGTAACACACATTTTCCAGTCCTTTCGCCATCTGCAGAGTCATTATTAACATTATTAACCATCCTGCTGTCTACACGGCTCAGCCAACGCCCAGAGTAAAGTGGGTGGCAGGTCCTCAGTACAGGTTGTCAGTGTTGGTGCTCCGCGGGGTCTTGATCTTCTCCATGTTCTTGAGGATGACATCATGCAAGGTAGCATACTGGTTCCGGACGTGCACTAAGATCTGGCGCACACTCAGGTACTCATTTTCGTCGACCTCCGCTATGGTGCGGAGATAATCTTCCACTTGAGGGTACTTCACTAACTTGGACACCAACTTGGCCCGGGTGTTATAGTAGGTGGAGAAGCGGCGTAGATAGGAGGTGGCAGTGCTCTCCACAGTCCACAGCTGGTCTACGGTGTCCTCCTGGATAGACACTCCAAAGTTATTGCCGTCCTCCACCTTTGGGATGAGCAGCTGGACCCACATGCGCACCGTGTTGCACTTCTCTCTCAACAGCTCAATCTCAGGCTTGACCCGCTCAATCAACTCCACGAGATGCTGATTGCTCCGAAGCAGGTATCCCTCTTTGCTGGGCAGTGCAGGTACTTTGCCTGAGGCCTGAGGCTGGAGAGGCAGCGGATCCCGGTTGGGCCCATCTCCTGCGGTGTCTGGGGTGGCCTGGGGCTCTGGGGCTGGCACTGAACGGATTCGAGACAGATCCTGTAGCCAGAGCTCCTGGACCTGGCTATCCAGCTCGGACAGCTTTTGAGGAAAGAAGATGGATACCAGATCCTCGGCCTCCTGGGCGATACGAGCCCGAAACGAATCCACTTTGCCTTGCATGTCCTGCTCTAGCTTCAGAGAGGAAGCCATGCTTCCAAAGGCGTCGAAGTTAGGGTAAGTACGACCTGGGGCTCTCTTTTGCAGGCTGGACTTAAGCCATGGCTACCGCCACCAACTCCCAACAGACCCACAGGAAGTGACGTGGGGGGCGGAGCTCCAGCCGCCCACAGCCAACCAGTCCCCTGTGGGAGTCTTCGGCAGGTGGTTGGGTGTCCTTGCCCACCAAGTTACTGTGGAACCACAAGTTAGTGAGACCCAGCAAGACATGTTTCCCAGAATCATCACTCCTATATGTATTTACTGGGGGAAACCCCAAACAAAAATGGCATTTCCCAGGAATGCTGTTAGGCCCTTTGCTGTAAATTGGTCTACTTCCATGAAGCTCAAATAAATCTGAAATCTCTGCATACAGAACAAATAATCTCTTGGGAAACGTACTTCACAAATGAGTTGTCCAGTAATAAGACTTTCTTCTGGGGAGACCTAAGTCCCATCTCTATAGGTAATCTTACATGCTTTCTCCTTAACTCAGAGGCAGTTCTTCAATCACCACAAACTTCTATGATTTTCTATAGCTTATGATTTTTAAATTACAAATATTGTTAAATGGTTCTTAAAACTCATCTTTATGAGTTGAAAGTGTACAATGAAAAAGTACATGAATGAGGCTCTCAGTTCAATCTCCAGCCCCAAACAACAAAAACGCTCACCTTTGGGGGGATAATTAACAAATTTGAATCAGGTATTAGATTGAAGTATCAAGGTCATATTTCCTCAATCTGATAATGGCACCGTAGTTCCAAATATCTTTATTTTTAGGAGATAAATACTGCTGTATTAAATGAGGAGAGAATGCATTTCGTCTGTTTTCACATGGTACAGACAACTGTGTGTATGTCCACGTGTAAAGACCGACAGCAAATGATAAAGGATGTACGGGAGTTTAGTATTAGTCTTACGGCTTTTCTTTAAGCTTGAAACCACAATTATTTCAAAATAAAAAGTTTTTAAAATCCTTTCTCCTAAAGGTTTTTGGAATTATAAAGACAACTTCTGTAATCATCTTAATTTCAGACTGCTTACTTGTATTCCTTCTTTCCCTGAAACAGTTTTCTTTTGGTCTACAAAATACCACAAAGTCCATGACTTTGACTTGTAATTATTAAAGTTAATTAAAGAGATCATTCTAAATATGTTACAGTGTAACTAATTTCATATGCAGTTGTCACCTCAGACTATAAACTCCTCCAAGGCAAAAGCTAAATCTTAATCTGCTTCAAAATATCTATCATAATGCCTGGTATGAGATAGTGCTCATTGAATATGTCTGATGAAATGATGTTGGCTAACTATAACTTCACATGAATACAGAATTTGAGAGTATCAATAAAGCAAAATGTTACAGGTTGCGTTCCTATCTAAGCCACATGGAATTTATTAGGGACTCGAGAAAAAACTCCTGTGGAAAGGAAGTGACAGCAAAGGGAAGCTGACTTTAATTTTAAGGCCTCAGTCGACCCAGTGAGGAACTGTTACTCAGAGTTGGAGACAAGTCAGTTCCTGAAAAGAGTAGTCTGGCAGCTGGACTTTCACATGTTAGAAATAATCCTTTGGTCTTGAAGGGGGATCTGGAAGATACATCATAACTTCAACGACACATTTGCTGTTTTAAGATACCTACACTAACCATAGCAAATTGTGGTCAAGTGAACTGTGTTCAGCATAATTAGGAGCAAGAAATTCAAAGATGGTTTCTGTGTTCAACTTGCTTCAAATCTGGCAAGAGTGTGATAAAGATGTATGCAGTGGAGGGACTTTTATGTCTGTAGGAAGGAATCAGGATATGTATGTAGTCCCACTTCATCCTTGGGAGACGTATTCCAAGAAGATATTCTTCAAAAGATGCCTGAAGCTACAGAGGTACTGAACTTTATATAGACTCTATTTTTTCCTACACATATATACATACCTATGATAAGGTCTTATTGAACAATTATAATAAACTGTAACAATAAAGTTAAGGGAACTTGATCTCTCTCAAAATATCTCACTGTATTGTACTCATCCTGCTGTGATAATAAGAGATGATGTAATGCCTACATGAGATGATGTGATGTAGATGAAGGGAAGTGATTGACAGGCCTTGTGATGACAGTTAAGTGACCGCAAAGGGTTACTGAAATACAAGTACTGTGACACAAACGCAGTTGACCCAGCAACTCAGACAGCTACTCTGTGACTAACAGGTAGGTAATATAGTTAAGTACAGCACAGTTATAGTGGGACAGCATGAAACTTCATTATGCTTTCAGAATCATGTTTACAACTTATAAACAACTTTTTAAATTTACAACTTATAAATCATTTATTTCTGGGCTTTTCCACTGAATCTTTTCAGGCTGTGATTAATCTCAGATAACTGAAATTATGGAAAGTGAAGCTAAGAATAAGTGTGGATTATTGTTCATGTAGATGAAGTTCTGGGGAACTACTGGGATAATGGATCCCAAGTACACAGGAAAGTGCTAGGAAATGAGGCAAGAGAAGTCCAAGCCCAAGTAGGCCAGTCCCTACTTGCCATGCTTAAAGAAACTTTAATAAATGACAATCAAGTAATTTAAGCAGGGGAAAATACACTTAGAAAATATGACAGGTAGAGGTTTGTTTGAAAAAGAGACTAGAGAAAAATGACTTCCACAGTCCAAGTAATAAAACTACCCTCACTTAATGAAGTGGTAATGAGGCTGAAAAGCATAAAGTGAATTTGAGAAAGTTAAATTAATAGTACCTAATATGGTTTGTATGTAGAGATTTAAAAAAAGTTAGAATTCAATACTCTATAACTTTCTTTTTTTTAAGGGAAACCTTCCACAAGAGGTGATTTAGATACTGAACACATGGTTTTTAGACACACATGTTTACATTTAACCTCAGGGAACTTAGCTAGGGCTAGAAGACACAGAAAGAAAATAATTCAAAACATGACCATGATTTTCCCATCTCTTGATTTTCTTCATAACTTCAGTAATTAAAATTATAATGGAAAATTTTGATAGCCATAACATCCTCAATGGTGTATATGGTTTAAAAATGGTTATCCTATTTTAAAAATATAAATATTTCTTATTGCTCTCTTAGAGAACTGGGTTTCTTTCTGCTTACGTTATAGCACTGACTAATCTAGCCATTTATATAGAATTGTTTTCTTTAGCTGTCTGATGACAGAATAGAAAATCCTTTAGGGGATTCAGCTGTCCTCTCTTCCAGTATGATGAAAGATTTTATTTATTTATAATATTTTTCCTGTCCTTAACATGAATAATGGATGATAGGAAAATAACAGCTCATTTTTCCTTCCTATCAACTATCAGCAAGCAGCAGTTGGTTTTTAAAAAGCTTGTAATGCAGTTTGATGCCTTGATTTGATGCATGAAATTAATACTGAGCACTAACAGGTGGAAGATGCCTGGGACAGCTGTGCAGAATGTGATGCTGTGCGGGTCAGCTTCTCCTTGCCCTCAGCCAACAGTGTTCCTTATGTACCAGTGCCAGTTAACTGACACACCACCTTGCTTTTAGGAATGCCTGTAGCTGTACGGCATTTATAAATCCTATAGGTCAGATTTATCCTTTATAGATCTGCACTTCTGAAATTACTCCTTGTGAAGAAGAAATTCTTTGCCTTATGTGTGAATTCTATTTATAGAACTATTCTAACGCTGTGTGTCAACTATTACATATAATAGGAGCTTGAGCTATAGACTGGGATTTAATTCTTCAAAATACAATTCTGCACTGATTTCTTTATAAAAGTTAGGGAAAATACAATCGATGGTTTTAATCTAGATCATTTTAAGGCTTTGATGGGTGGTATTATTTCCTTATATTTACAGAATTCATCATCTCTGGATTGCAATGGACTTTAAATTACCTAACCCAATGGATTCATATACCACTTAGAAATACCCTCTGGCGAGAATCATAAAATGCTTAGTTTTACAATGTAGTAACTTAGAAAACTGCCAGAGCCAATTTCTAGGTTTGACAAATACAGTGCTTCCCTTCCTTCATTCTTTATCCTAGACTGCTGCAAGTAAGAGCAGAGAAAAAAATGTAGAAGTAGTCACTGCAGGGTCTTTTTGTCAACTGCAGTTTGCCACTTGAATTCTCTAGAGCTCAGATCTAATATGTAGTGATGAGGAGTGGCAATGTATCTCGGGTTAAGGCTACAAAGTTAGCCTGACAAACTGAAATCCTGACTTTGCTATTTTAGTAGCTGTGTGACCCTGGCTAAGTTGTTTAATGTCTCTTTACTTCATTTTCCTTTTTTACCAAACAAGCATTATAAAAATGGCTATCTCATAAAGGTTGTTTGAGAATTAATAGCTTGGTTAACACATATAACAACGTACTGCTGTGCCTTCAATGCAGAAAATGCTCACTACATGATAATCACTACTACACTAACATAGACATCAGCATTCCAAAACCTCCCCACATGTTCTGAAATGGAGAACTGTGAGTTATATACAAACTAACTACGAAATAATTTGCTTATTCACTACCTTGATATTTAGCAGTGATGAGTAATTTAAATACAGTTGAATATAAGCAAGCTTTTAAAAATGTCTTGCATTTCTCCAGTATTTAGATGCTATATCACAAAGGGCACACGTGAAGGAAGCACAAAGTTTACTGGCTACCTTGGCTGAAAAGTGCATTTGGCAGCAGAATGCCTTCTGCTAGTAGCCTTATGACACAGAGACAAAAGCCATGTATTCATCTAGTTCACATCAATTTAGCTTACAAATGATCAGATTGGTCTACTTTGAAAACGATTTCTCTAGAGGGTCCTTAAGATCACTGATTTCAACAAAAATTACTGATATCTGGGTTCTAGATCCTTGTTTTAAGAGGATTGGCTAAGGACTGTCTACCCATGGCAATGATGACTTTCTTGTTACAAAATTCTTGAACTAAATAAACAATGAATCCTCAGTTCTGTACTTCTCAAATTGGAATCTAGTAGTTTCCTAACTTTTATGTGTATTCAGATTTTGATTATAAAAGTAACTGATATAACAGGACATTTGGGTCATATTATAACTGTCATGCAACTTCATAAACAACAGTTGTTTTTTTTTTTTCATGACTATGAGAACACAAAGAACACTTCTTTAATGATTATGAGAGAAAGGAGCCTATCAGGTATGAGTATCCTTTTCTTTTTCCTCAAAACAACTGGTAATCACATGGAACAAAGTGGTTACATCTTTTTGTTTTTGTTTTAAGTATTTTAAGCAGTCAAAACCAGATGGAGAATTAAGTTATCCCTGAATCCTTGACAGTATGCAGTGTTTAAAAATTTGAAGAAGCTGTACCAAAATAGTATTATCTTCATTTGTAATAACTATTTCAGAAAAGTATAACATGTTAAACAAATTAAAAGGTATGTTTTATCTTTATTATTTTATTTATGCTTAATTTATATAATTGTTTGTATAAATTATTTTTATAGTTACAAAACTAGAAGTATAAAAATGTTTCTAGAGTTTAGTTTTGTTTTTACTGTGTGTGTGCTTAATAAACAAGTCACCACTGGTAGATTTAAGAGGAATATTCCTGCCAGCTATGATTACCCTGGAATCTCACCTGTACAGGAGGCTAACACAAGGCCAAACTGGACAACTTAGTAAGACCCAATCTCAAAATAATAGTAAAAAAAGTCTGGGGATGTCTCAGGGATAGAGTGCTTACCTAGCACGTACAAGGCCCGAAGTTCAAACCCCAGGAATGAAAAAAATAAACAAACAAACAACCCAACTTTTAAAAGTAAAAACACTCCTCTAAACACCTTGTACAAACACTTACACATTTTCCTCTGGAAATGCAAGTCTGATCATATTTCTATCTTCTACAGTATAAGATTCAAATTCCTTCAGCATGGCCTACAAGTTCCTTCAGCATGGCCTACAAGTTCCTTCAGCATGGCCTACAAGTTCCTTCATGATCTGTATCTTTTGTGCTTCATTTCCCAGGACCTCCCCTGCATTGCAACAACAGCGATCTTTGGAGTCCCATGAATTTGCACAAGTGTTTTTCTGTGTGAAAAGCTAGACTGCCTCATCTTCCTCCCACTCTTACCACACTCATCCTTCTGTAATCAACTCAAGAACTGTTTTCTGAAAAACCTTCCCGATAAATCTTCTCCCTCTTCCTTGATGAAGTTAATGTTCCTAGCACACAGTTAAGTACCTCATAAAACTGCTGAAAGGATTAAATGAAATAATTTATATAAAACAGCTAGGACAGTAAATACTTCATAAACAGTAGTAGTTTTATATGCAATCTCACAATATTCTGCATTATATCTTTTTTATAGTTCCTATCACAGTATTGTAATTTTGAATTTACAAGTTCATTTTTCTCTGCTACTATAAATTCCTTGAGAACAAAGATTTTACCTTATTTGTTTTAATACATTCTCTGGTAAGAGGGAGTGTTAAATGAAAATTTACTAAATAAGTAATGAAGCAAAACAGGATATAATTTTATCAGACAGGGCACCACCTAGGAGAAGATGGGGCTTTCAAGCAATGTTTTTTTTGGTTTTGTTGTTTCCAATGTTGTAAATTGAACCAGGACCTTTGCAATGAGCTACAACCTCAGTCCCTTGTTTTTCTTTTAGAGAGAGTCTCACTAAATTACCTAGGCTCGGTTTGAACTCACAATTCTCTTGTCTTACCCTTCCAAAACGCTAAGATTATATGCTTATGCTACCATGTCTAGCTTTTTCTTCGTTATTTTCCTGAAAAATTGCTAGATTATGCTGTATCATATAAAAATCCATTTTTAGAAATCTAACAGCAGTGTTTTGAACTAAACTTTTTGGGGCTTTCTATAGGAAAAGCAAGAAATCCTTCCTTCCTTCATCAACAGCATACTGAGTTTCACATTTTACTTTTCAGTCTAGCAGTATGCCACAATTCTTTACAGTACCTTAGATCTGAAAAATATCACTTAAATAACTACAGTTTGTCTGTAGGACAGTAGTTATGCAGTACTATATGTTTGTGCAAAGTGAACATATTGGGGAGCACCAGTGATGTATATACAAAAAATAAGGGTGATTATGCTAGCTCTGACTCACGCTCCTACTATTTATTTATAGTTTCTTATTAGTATGAGATTTGTTTCACTTGGCACAAATACAAGACTTCAACTGACTTAGAAAGGAAGATGTAAGAAAATGCCTACACATAAAACTTGTACAGCTGAGTAATAATCTGTAAGTTGGTACTGTATCAACAGGTTCCCCAGGGGCAGGTGCAAGAAGAAACCACTCCAGAATTACAGATTTCACAAATGCAGAAGTAGTGATTATTCCTCTATAGATGCTCTATGTTTATAAATGCTAAATTTACTAGTTGGAGCTAAATTTTTAGATCACTGTACAAAATATTTATGATGAATTCTTAATCTCTTTTAAAACTATTCACCAACAACAGAAACAGTCAAAAGAAAATTTTAAAGGGCAAACCAAAGAATATGTGGGTTTCAAACTGAAAAAAAATGTAATTTTTCAATGTTTGTTTACAATTACTCTCTGGCCTCTTTAATTTTTCTTAACATTTGTCACAAATTGATACTTTACTAGATATTTATTTTTATATTTGTTTGATGTCTCTTCCTAGAATGTAAGGTCTGGAAGGACAGGAGTTGTTTTTGTCCACTGATGAATTCTTTGCCAAAAAACAGTAAGGAACATGGTTATTCAATAAATACCTTGTGGGATGAATGACATTAAAAACTAATTAAATCTGATTAAATAATTCTTTAAGGATAGCGGCAGGTCAAAGTATTTTCTAAATACACAAAAGTGATGCAATTATTCAAAAAAGTCACAATTAGTATGAATAAAGTTTTTTTAATAGTATCGATTTTTGGTGTCAGGAATCGAACTCAGGACCTTGTGCATGCTGCTGAGCTATATCCCTGGCCTCTAAGACAACCCAATCCTAAATTGAGGAAAGAAATCTTTTATGCTCTAAACTTGTCTCACATTTACATATTTTAAAGAGCAACAAAAGTGGAACTGCTAAAACAAAAAAGAATGAAAGAAATTGCTAGTTTTAAAACTTAAAGAGTTCTTGTATTTACCATTACCATTCAGCTTAAAATGAAGGTGTTTGTTAAAAAATAAAGATTCACATTTTGGCATATGTAAAATATTCTATTCTAGTTTTATATTTTAAAACCAGGTCAACTGTGAAAACTGAATTAAGATTGAAAAATCAAAAGTAATTTATTTAGGATTTTTTGTTCTAATATTTTAGCTTACACCATATTCTCTACAAAATATATTTATCTTAGAAGATACTAGCTTTCAAATAACTAGCTACAAGAACAGTAGATTTCTAATAACCAGCAATCACAAACACACGAAATGTGGCTAACCATTTCTTTCAGTATGATAGAGTATTATATATGCTTACCTATTGTACCCTTCCAGAGAATAGAATTTGTAAATAAAAAGCAAATCCAAGCTCCTTGTAAAACTCTTGCAGTTCTAATACTCCTGCAAAACATTACTAAGTTTATTTAAAAAAACAAAATGAATCATTCTGGGGAGATGGAGGAAAGGATTATAGATGATTTTGCTTAGTCTAATGAAAACTAATTTTCCTCCTTCCTAGACATTTATAAGTTCTGCATACAATAACCCTATACTTTAAAGATCAATGCCCTGGGAAGAGAAGCAAAAATGTATTATATGTATACTATGTTAAAAACTGTGCCAGTATTTGATTCATTTCACTTAAACTTCTGAACCACCCCGAAAAAGGTAGCTACTAATATTACTGTATTAGAGATAAGAACATTAGGGTGGTTAACATTATTTCTCTAATCTTTGTAAACAGCCCACTAATAATGGTTAAAACCCAAATTCACCTGACTCCAAAGCCCATGTGACATGACTGCCTACAAAAAACTTGCATCAACTCCCTAAGTTTTTTTCTTTTTTACTACACTAAAAGTAATGACTCATAGCTGAAGAGAAAACCGTATTTTATTTCCAAATAAAGCTACACAGCAGAATAAACTATACTCCCTGCTATCTTTCTTTAAACCAATGCAGTGTATGTGTATACATACACTACAACACATTTTTATGTTTTTTTTTTTTCTTTTTGCAGTACTGAGTACTGAATTCAGGATCTTTAAACTGAACTGCATCCTCATCCATTCTATCTCTAAATTGTTCTGGTTGGGTTCAAACTTCTGATTCTCCTGTCTCAGCCTCCCAGAGTTCTGTGATCAGAGGTGTGTAGACATTACACCTGGAAATACATATATTTTTAAAAGATTCTTCCTAGGGTCTGATTATGAAGTCTTTTTTAAAAAAAACTAAATTAAGGGAAACAAATCACTAACAGATTAGATAATAAGTAGGAAACAGTTCTTATGAAAACCTTATTTTTAGTTCCTCTTTTACTTACTTTTCTCATTTCCAGGAACTGTGATCTACTTGGGTACATGTATCTGGGTTCCAGAATTTTGGTTTGGCAATATCTTCTGCTACCCATTACAGTATTCTATAATTACCCGTAGTATATCGTATGTTCCCAAAGAATATAAAAATAACATTTTACTGGTTAAGCAGAAAAACTGGAAATTTGAGGTTGAAGTTCAATCACAGGATAACATTTTACAAAGTTTTAGAAAAATCTACAAATTTACCAAGTCAAGGATAACACAAAGAAACCTGATAGCCTATTATAACCTTTTAAACTTGGTTTGACTTTAATTCTTCCATTAAAAGACACTGAGTAAAAACATGGCTCCAATACCCACAGACAAAAGTGAACTTATTTTACACTATGTATCATATATAAAATTAATTCAAAGTGGATAACAGACCTAACAGATGATGTTAACAAAAAGAAAATACAGATCTAATGACACAGTTGTGACTGTCATAACCTCCTAAAAGTCCATGTCCCCATGAACTTTGATTCATAGCTTTACACAAGGTATCTCAGAGTAATGAGGTCTCTGCTCAACTGGAAAGTGTCTAGAAAGATGTCCCTTTACAGGATGGTCCCTCCCTTCCCTCCAGACTCTGAGCTGCCACAACACCTGATATTTACCTAGCTCACCACAACCATCACACTGTATTGTAACTAAGAATTTGTTTTTTGTTCTCTAGATTATTACATTCCTTGATTGTACACACTATGTCTTATTAATAAACTATAACCCGACATCTGCTGTTTTGTTGCAGAGATTTCACTTTCAATCCATGGTCTCTTGGCCTGATATCAAGGCCTGACAACTCAGCTCCTTCTCTGGAAGGCTCACTACTGTCCTGGCTAGGAGAGCAGTACTGAGCACAATTCTTCTCTTATACATGCTCCCCTCTTGGCTTTTCTCCTACTTTGCTAGTTGCTCCTTTCCAGTCTCCTTTAGGGCAATCCTTCTTTATCTAATCTAAAATAATTCAAGTCCTCAGTCCTCTTGCCCTTCATTTAGAACACTAAATTCCTTTAATTTTTTTTTTTTTTGTGGGGCACAGGTGGTACCAGGAATTGAACCCACGACCTTGCACTTGCCCAGCAGGCACTGTGCCACTGAGCTATATCCCTGGCCTTTTGTCCTATATTCTCTTTCTAGATAAATCCATTATTTCCACTAACTAAACATACATAAGCTGAAAATTCCTAAATTTACCTCTTTGCTCAGATCATCCATGCCCCAAGGCCCAGATTCAGGGAGTCAGTTGCTTACTGAATGTATTCCTGTGAATATCTAATAGATATTTTAAACTTAAATGTGTCCCAAATTACTCCACATATTTATAGCAAACATATTATTCTGCCCTACTCCAGACCTTTTCATCTTGATACATGGTAGTTCTATTCATCAAGTAAACTCAAACCAGAAATCACATTTCCAATTTCCACTGAATCGTCCTGAAAAATATATTTAGAACTAGATATTGCTCTACTGCTATCATTAAATTGCCTGGATTTCTGAACCGGTCTTAAACGGTCTCTGTGCTGCTGCTGTTTCTTTTCCTCCTCTTCTTCCCCCTCCCCCTCCTCCTCCTCCTCCTTCTTCTCTCTCTGTCTCTCTCTCCCTCTTCCTCTGTTTCTCTCTGTAATAACTAAAGTCACCCTACAAACTAAATCATCCCTATTTTTCTGCTGCTCAAATCATTTCGTTGGCCCTTAGCATAAAATCCAAACTCCTTACCGTACTTCTGGCCCCTTCTAGTCTCCCAAACCTCATTTCATTACTTACCAGCCGTCCCACTCACTAGCCACCTGTCACACTGGTTTTCTTTCAATATGGCAAAGAAAGCTCTGTTCCTCTGTCCTACCTTATTGCCTTTGTACATGTTCTTTTCTCTGCCTGAAATTCTTGTGCTCTCTCATGTTTGAAATTCTAGTCAAAAGTTAACTCTCTGAGAACATCCTTGGTGATACTCTCTTAAGTAGGACTCTATGATTCTCTCTGAGCTCACTGCTGTTAGCATAACCCTTATAACACCTGTCAACCATTTTACTAATGTATAAGTTTGTTTACTTCTGGTCAGCACCATCAGCTACAATGTAAGTTACACGAACATGAACAAGTTACAAGAACCCTGGCTCCTTGCAAATCCTCAGAATATTTACCACACTGTTCCTTAAAAAAATGTGCTGAGGGACACACAAAACTAAATCATCTGAAACTAGTAGCAGACTAATAGAAAAAGTTGTGAAAACATATTATTCCATAATAAAGCAACTAATACTTTATATACTCTATACTGAAATCTTTTAAGTACACTAATTTTAAATACACTAAAGAAAAATGTATATTTTGTTAGTTTATTATATAATTATATTTTAAATTTTTCTGAAAGTTTTCAGAACTTTTATTGTTTTAACTTTAATACTTTACTAAAAGTCCAGTTACATGTTTTTTATATTTAAGGATGAATTATTGGCTTAAAGATGAGCTATTAGAACCTTTGCTTCCTTAACCCACAACTATATAATCTACATTTAAGGTAATAGAGAAGAAAAAACATACATTAGACAATTGTGTGGCAATCAGAAAAGCGCTGCTGCAGTTTGGATGCGAACTGTAAGGGCCTGTGTACTTAAGGCTTGGCTGCAAGTCTGTGGTGCCACCACAGTGCAAGCAGCTTGGGTCGCTGCAGCTGTGCCCCGCTGGGAGACACTGGCACCCTGGGCCCTCTCGTCTCTTTGACTTCCTGCTTCCATAATGTAAGCATGACATACTAAGGCACTACAGGTCCAAAGAGAACAGCACCTGGTGAACAGGGACTAAAATCTCTGAAAGCCTGAGGCAAAATAAATCTTTTCTTCTTTTAAAAGTTATCACCTCATGTATCTGTCAATGACAGAAAGCTGACTATAATACAAGTAGAATCCACCAGAAGACCTGACTCAAACTGTTGAGAAATGATATGTTAAAAGCTATTTTTCTTGCTTTACAGGCACTAAATTTTATATGTATACCCATACATATATCAGATAAATATCAGCCTGCATAGCTCTGAGATGTATTTTCTTAATTCCAAAGTCAAATTATTTTTTACTGTGCACCATTCCCTTCTGGTCACACCTCTTTTACCTCTTTAGAATAGATATTCAAAAGTTGCTAATTCAAAGCATATTTTAGGACAATTCATCAGCCTCTTTAAGGAACTTCAAAATAAACATGATGCTGTCCCCTTCAAGGCAGATTCATTCTTAACAGAATAAAAGTTATTCAACAAAAGAACCAGAAAAGAACTATCTATAAAACTTAATCTGAGTAACAGAGATCGATTTATTCTGCATGATTTTTAGCTTAATTTTCAAAATATATTTCAAGAGATATTATTATCAGACATAGATGACAATAAATTATTTACATGACAGTCCATGAAAAATTCAATAATTTAAGTTGACAAGCTTCTCTGGAATACCTTCTACATACAAATAAGTACAGCACAGGGGCTAAAATGCTAACACAGCTTATCCTTTTAGGACATCATAGACATATTATAGCCATGTTTCTACAGATATAGAGCTTTTGTAAAAAAAAAATTATTTACTTATTTTTTTGGTACAGGAGATCGAACTCATGACCTCACGCTTACCAAGCACTTGAGTCACTGAGTTAAATCCCCAGTCCAGATGTAGAGTTTATTCAATCTGAGGCTTAGTCATACTGGAGGTTAAGACGATACCACAGTCTGTTCAGCACCCACCCTAAATGAAAAACAATCTGTCCATGTATTACCAAGATCAATGTTTCAAAACTCTGAAACACAGAGATCTTACTGGGTGAACTGTTGCCCTCACATAAAATAGTACTTATGCTTTTAAAATATAATAGAATTCATTCACTTTGAAGACTAATTCCTATATGTACTATGAGACACAGATGGTCCTGACAAAAATACTCACAAAGCTACCTATCACATATTCAATATCACATTATGGTGCTAGGTATGAACTAATTTAGAATAGCAAATTGATGAGTTCGGCCTTCAGTTCATTCAGTCATTTACTGAATACCCTGCCACATACCTGGCGCTATGCTGTGCACTAGGAACGCAGTGATGACTATGACAAAGATGACTAAGCAACAATTAAGTAATTACTCAATTAACATACTATGCTCCCACTCTCAACTAATTATCCATCCTGCTGGCTTCCAGTGTGATTTCTATGACTAGGGACTGAACATCTCCTCAAAGCTTACCCACAACAGGATCCTCAGCAGTGCGTAGATTAGCAGCAATGTGTAGAAATAAATATCACATAACTATTAGCCTTAAGGTTTTTCAGGAAAAACCAACTAAGTGTTACTGCTCTAATTTGCTGATGGTGTCAAAAGTTAAACAACTCACAGTCCAAAACGAACAAATCACGATATATGGGGGGAAATGACATGAGTGTTCAGACCTTAATCCTGAGTCAGATCATAATTCATCAACTTTTCCTAATTATAATAATTGCTTTCCCCATAATTAAGTTTTATGACATCATCAAAAAGCTTGTACCAAATTCTGTTTAGATATGAAATGATTTAACAGGCTACTTTACTGGTTTTCTAATATTTTACGTAAGAAAAACCCTAAGACTATATAAAGCAAACAGTTATATCAACTTTCATATTTTTAAAACTCTACCATTATTAAAAACATCTCCTTATGACGATTTGGAAGACCTGTAATGTCTCAAGGAATACTTCAAATATTGTTTTTATTTTTTAAAGATCTGGTTTTACTCTCAAATGCTTTTTGGTTTTCTTTGTAGTCCTACTGCAAATAAACAAAAATTGTTTAACATTCTCTGTGTTTTGCTTTAAATGAAAGAAACATTAATGCAGATGAATAACACTGACTTGTTTCTTTTCCTCAGAACATCTGTCAAAGATAAAACATGGTTGTATTCTTAGACTTACATGTGTATAAAACAACCATAATAGTCTCTTATTTATCTTATACTCTACCTTTCTTTCTCTTCTATCCTTGAAACACATCCTTCCCCCTGCTGTCTCTCCCATTCCTCTCCCTTCCTCTTTCCTTCTGTCCTTTCCCCCCTTTTAATTCTTTTTCCTTTAACTGTACCCAGGATATTGCCTGGTCCATTCATTGTCAAATTTACCAAATTCTTCATTTAATCTCTTTCACATTCTCTTCCGTCTCTAATCTGCATTGTGTTCTGATTATGCTACCATAATGTAATCTTAAGTCACGTTGATTTCTATGCTTAAACAAGCCAAATGGGCTGTGTCACTTCTTCTCAGGGAGTTCTGTCACATCTGATATTGCTGACTACCTCCTATTTGAACACTTGTCCCTTGACCTCCATCCATGTTTTAAAGTAAAACAAGTTAATTTTTTTCTTCATCTGTACTATACTCTAATTTTCCTTCAATATTTCTAATAATTTCCTTGTGTTTCCCTTTTGATTGTCATTCCTCCCACAGTATACCTTAGATAGCAGGTGGCTTGGTTTTTCATAGGTTTTTGTCTTGGTCTTGTTCTCTTTGGAAAATAAATTCAAAGAAACCCAAAACATGTTTTGAACACGGAGATTAATGGAATTAAATTCCAAGTTGATGCCTTTAAAGATTTAGATATAAAAGCTTTAGAAAGGCAGTGTAAGTAAATTAATAGGAGCATAGGTTCTAGAGCCAGACTTTCTAGGTTAAATGCTAGCTCCGCCACTTTTAAATTATATCATAACAGACCTTTTCCTCTATCATGCTTCATGATGCTGTTTCTGCCTCAGAATGAGCCAAAAACCATAAATTGAAACTATTACTTTAGAAGTCCATTAGAAGTTACTATTCCAAAAAAATTCATTGAAGTTTTGGTAGGAGCTACAGAATTTACTACTTACAAATACAGGCAAGCAGACCCACTCAAGGCATACCCTGACACTGCCAGGTCAGATGTATAGCAGGCCCGCACCATGACCTGGGTGCCTCCTAAAGTGAACAAGCAGGCCCACACCAGACCCAGGGCACCCCCTACACACACACACAAAAGGGCATAACTGGAAAGCCAACTCCCAGCCAGCTCTATGTTTCGCTTCTACGGATTCAGGGCAGCATAGACAAGGACTAACCAATAACCTGATCCTGGACAAGGACAACATTTGGTGACAAACGGGAGCAAACAGATTCTGTGACTTTCAAAATTAATTCAAACAGCTCCCCACCCCCACCCCTATAGCCTACACCCAGCAGAGACCAGAGGCCTGTTCAAGAATAATTTACGAAAAGGGGCAAGAACACCCACTGGCTTGGTAACCACCGTCTGGAGTAAACATACAGAAAGGCCTCTGGTGCAGGGAGGGCAACTCAAAAACTTATTAGCCCTAAAGCTAGGTAGATAATATTATGACTCTCTGGATTCCAAAACTGCACATCTTAGAAAGAAACCATTGATCCAAAAACAGGAATTTTTCTTAGACTCAATCTATTTTTGAGTTTTCTATTTTTTAAGATTTTTATCTCTTTTTCATTGGTTTTTTTTGGGGGGAAGGGGTTCTTTTCTTTCTCTTTTCCCCTTTCAACATTTTTCTCTTCCTTATCTGTATTTACTGTATTTTGCTGTTTATCTTTTTTCTTTTTTTTGTTCATTCTTCTCTGTAACTGTTCTCTAGGACTACCAATTTCCTTTTACTCTTCAATAGGATACATTATCTTACTTTTATCTCCCCCTTTTCATATCCTATTATTTTTCAAATTTTGCTTTTTATATTCTCCAGTTCCCTACTCCCTCTACCTTTACCAGTGTAACTACTAATATCTAGTTAATATCTAGACAGCTAGTTAAATTTATGCTATTGCTGTTGAACAGTGTTCTATCGTTAGTAGAGGCAAAGCTGTCCTATTTAGTAGATATTCACTTTAAGTTAATAGTAGGTCAATATTTCTTCTGTCTTAGTGTTCATACTATAATTATGGATCTCTCTTCTATGGGTAAGGTTGATACATTGTTAATTGTTAGAATATATTAATATTCAGTTTGTACTTGATATTATAATTGATGCTGATTTTATTACTATAACAAAGGTAACACAGGTGTTACTATTAAATGGTTTTCCTGGGATCTCAATATTTAGATTGCCTTGGAGTCATTAAAAATACTGTGGCCCTGTACCATGGAGAAGGGGGTACAGGGCCGAATGTACTGCAACCTCCATCTCAAGTAAATGGAGGTGGCTGGATCATGGGACAGAAGCAAAGGCCAGCGTTAGCCATGCCTAAAAGAGACAATGAAAAATAGGTATTAAGTAAAAGTAGATGTTTTCCTCACACTAGAAAAAAAAGCTACAATCAACCATCAATCCTCAACACAAAACAAACAAGAAAAACATGAGAGAAATCAACAAAATGCTTGCCAAAACTCCAAACTCTCCCAAAGCTCATTCATGGGGCATCAAAGAAGAGGCAAGCAAAAACCACAAACCCAAATTATTCAAAATTATACTAGTGGAGACAATAAAACAGAACAAAAAGATACTTGGCAAGCTCACAGAAGATGTAAATAAATAGATACTGGGCCAAATGAACAAAATGATCAACACACCTACAGGAAACACTAAAAAAAAGCTAGGAGAGCTTTACAAAATGATGTAAAACATGAATGATGAGCACAGTGAAGAATGAGATTCCATAAAAAGCTTCCAAATAGAAATTCAGAGGGTTAAAAATTCCATCAAAAGTATGGGCATCAGCACTGATAGGAATAGATCTTTCATAAACATTTTGAAAAAATAACATAACCAGTCAACCTCTTTGCAATAATCAGAGCATTTCCCATAATTTGTCCAAACTTTCAAGATTCTGACTTATCTTGCTTGAATGTGTATAAGCATTAGACAATTTCCCTTCCCCAAGGGGGAAAACGCAGTAAGATGCAACAATAATCTATTCAAAAATGCTTCTTCCAAGTATTAAAAAATGAGAATGGGACAGAGTACCTTACAGTTCTACTGGCACAGAAAAATTGTTAAACATTTCACTCAAGTGATTTCTTTAATGCTAAAGCTTAGATTTAGAGACAAGAATGATGTTTCTCTGGCTAGCACAACCATAAATGACAAAAGAGATGCTAACAAAATTTTCTGCTTTTCCAGCACTTCTTATGTCATGTTTTGGGTCACTGAAAAAGATTCAAATGTCTTTAAGTGAACCAATGTAAAAATACCCTTTATTGATCATGAAGAACCAAGAATTTCTATACCTGTGATCTCTCTTAATAAAACATATTTAACGTAGTTCTGTTCTTAATTATGCACTGAATGGCAGGCATTGTGCTGGGTGTCACCAGTGGTAATAAAAAAGCATCTGACACAACCTACCTTTAAAAGATTTGTAATAAAGATAAGATGAGTCTTTTAGATTGAACAAATAGGAACCAATATAAGAAAGAACTTTTTAAAATAATATAACAAGTTGTCTGGTGTATTTATGAAGGTTCAAAGGCCCACCACAATCATTTTCTTACAAGAGGAACGCAGGCTCTTCCTTCCATGTAAGTTGCTGGCTTACAAAGCCAAGAGTACACACTTAACGAGATCAACCCTGTTTCCCTGATCACAAATGAATGGGCCATGAATCGTGAGCCAAGACTACCATAGCAGTTTTCGCATAAGATAATGAACAACTACTCATCTATCCTTTTTCTGTTTGGAGAGTTTTAATCAGCAATGTGTAAAAACACTAAAGTGCATCACTGAGCTGTTGCTGAACCACCAATGACAAGTTATTATTTCAACTCTCCATGCAGACCAGTGTACATTCCCACCTACAGAGCACAGGCGCAGAGGGGCTGCTTAGCCGCTGAGCCTGTCTCTTGTGCTGCTTCAACTCCCACATGTCTTACAGGGAGTTCCTATTCCTTACGGTTACCCTTACAACCCACAGCATACATATGGTATGCTAGTAAATATTTTATGTGACCAACGAGTGAAATACCCAGATATGGTACTAGTCTCAAATACATAAAATGCATGGGAAGAAAGGCACAGAGAAATTACATATATAACTGCAGCTCACTTTCCTCTTACAAATTATCCACGTATTTGAAACAGACACTTTACAGTGTTTACTTTTGTACTGAAAATGGAAAATATTGTAAGATAACTTAAAAGTGTTCTAAAAGCAAGCATCCATCTCATTTGAGAAAGAAGTATCAAATGAGTGGGGAAATAAGGCCATGAAAGTCAGACCAAACAAAGCAAAAAGAACTTGTTTCTAATGGGAAACTCCCTTAAGGAGATTTTAAAATCCTTTCTCTAAATATTACTGAATGAGAAAGAGGATGGTATTTTAATATTTATTGGAACAACAGATAAAACTAGTATTATTTCCCACCAGCCTTCTCAATGTTTTTGTTTCTCTTTCTTTGGAATCAGTTTCTTAATTTTACTTGAGCTTTCCTGTGTATCTGTTTCTCTCCCACGCTCTTGGATTCATTTTGTTATATTCTTTAACTTTTCTCTCCCTAAATAGGTTACCATAAAAACACATGAAGAAAAACCAAACACAAAACTGACATTATTTCTTACCCATATGTCAATTATAACTCGTTCAAAATCACTGGAAAGTTTGAAAAGAAGTTATTCTCCATTACCCTCACCATTCAAATCATACTAAAATGAACACCTGGAATTCAATGGAGAGATTATAGGTTAGGGGGTTGGAGTTAAAAATCCTTAAAGGAAAGTCAAAAGAACAGAAAACCTTTTGAGCTTTTGTCAGGGCCTCTGGAATCATAATCATTCTTTCTTGCTGACCTATAAAAGGAAATCAGTAGTCATCCAACAGTATGTCTGCTTTAGAGAAAATAATGTCAGCAGCTCAAACGTAATGAGTTTTAAAGGGTACAAGAATGTGTGGTATGAAAGAATAAGTTTGGGACATAGTTGGTTTATTAAATAATGGTACACTGAACATCAGTGGCTACTTCATATGTTAAAATAAAAAAATTTTATTAAATGTATGTTCAATTATAAAAGAAAACAGTATGACTTGCTTATTGTGAGCTTCTGTTATACATATCTGGTTCACACCAAGTTGAACCTGGGGTTTCAAAAGCTCTGAATTTCCAATGCAGTAACTTCTGTTAATGAAATTAAGAACCTATCTGAGAGACAAATTCTACATTCTCCTGCATAAGAAATGATGTTCTCTTTCCAGAAAAACATTACTAAGCATGACTTCAATTTATGGCTTGTCAGTTGCTACTTCTAATATTCATTATACTGTTTTAATCAAATAGTAAAGTATCCTGAACTATTTTTTAAAAGGTAGGAAAAACTATTTGGCTATTTCCATGTTTTAAAAAAAGCATTTTTTTTACAATAACTTCCACAACACACATTGTTTTAAGGTACTGAGCTCCATTATTCTCTGTTTGCTTTTTTGAGACAGGGTCTCACTATGTAGTTCAGGCTGGTCTTGAACTCATTAGGTAGTGCAGGCTGGCCTCAAACTTGTGATTCTCCTATCTTAGCCCCTGGAATGCTGGGATTACAAGCACCATCACACCTGGTGAGGATCACAGTTTTCAAAGTTATACACCCCCACACCCCACTTTAAACAAGACTATGTCAAAAGTAAAGCAAATACTTAAGTTTTCATCAGACAGTACAGTTGAAGACTTGCAGAAACCCTATCTCAGCTGCTCCCTCGCTGCTAAAAAGGAACTTTGAGGTCGGTATGGTACAGAAATATACCAATTGTCTCAGAAACAAAGGTGAGCACAAGGACTCTGAAAAGACAGAGATCATGAGATGCCATGGCTAAAGTATTTCAAATCTCCTACTATATTTGACCAATAACTGAAAATATAAAAACATTAAACTGCCAAAATTATCCAATAGACAAATCCTGAGCTGCAATATATTTATTGTTTAGGAAAGGAATTAACTAGTTAATAGAGTTTCAGTGGTAATAAGAGAATGAGTTATTCTATTGTCAGTGTATATTTTTTTCTAGTCACACATCCATTATTACTTGTTTGTTTCTTTCTTTGTTTTTAAGATAAGGCCTAAGATTCAAGCCACTGAGGAGTTCTAATTCATTTATGTGTTCCTGGTTTAACATAACAGCACTGTAATGGAGATAGTCACATGGCAATTCTATGAAGAATACATTGCCATTCTATAGGAAAAGAAGATAGAATGTATATAGCTACGCATTCCTCCACTTAGTCTAACACTAGGAATGATCAAAAGTGCTAGTATAAACATTTATGTCTGCATGACCTAACTGACATTCTTCACCAATGAAGGTAAATGATGAAGAAGAAAGGAAAGGAAAAATAAAGAATCTTAGCAAGCTAGATCTCAACATTCTCCATGAATACATTAATTAGCCCATGATTCATTTTAAATTTATATTTCAGAAGTTTTTTCTGAACAACAAAATGGGAATTGTCTTTTTTAAAAAGCCTAAATTAGAAATTCTGATGTTTTTACTTTTTGTTTGATTATACAGAATATGGCTACAGAAATGACAAAGAATAAAAATCAAGACATAATTTATAGCTTTCTAAATATAAAGTCACAGCCTGATATCAATTCCATGTTCACAGTCATAATGCTGAATGGCTCAAAGTCAAGCATGTATTATCGCGTTTAAACTGTTCCAGCCACTTAGTATATTTCACACTGCTTCCTATCTTCCACATTTTTGTATCAGTCCAATGTCTTATACACATCAGACACTTAGAAATATTTACTTTATTCTTTCAAAATAAACTTACCCTTCGAAATGACACAACATAAAATGTGTCTCCCCTCCTGCGAATAGCTTCAAAGAAGTCTTGATAACTTCCGGCTGGAGCATAATATACTTGTAACTCATTCCCTGAGTTGCTACTAAAATAAGAAAAAAGTAAACTATCATTAATAAGTAAAGACGTTTCAGTTCTCCCCAAATTCTTCCCATTCTGAGGTTATGTGTGAATTATAAAAATCTCTTTCAACCAGCAATTTGGCAACAATCTTTATTTTAAAATATATTTAATTATTTCTGTAATTGACACATAAAAAATTATATATATTTATGGAGTACCAGGTGACATTTCAATACATGCATATATTGTTTATGTTTCACTCAGAGTAAGCATTCTTACCTACTCATCATTTATTTATACCAAAAACATTTAAATATGCAGTACATTATCATTAGTATAATGATGCTACCATGCAAAGGAAAACCAGAACTTACTTCTATCAAGCTGTAACCTAGAACCCAATGATTAACCTTTCCCCACTGTTCACCTCCCCACCAATCTCCCTAGCCCTGGTAACCACTATTCTGCTCTATGAGATCAACTCTTTTAAATCTCACATGTGAAGAAGATCATGTGCTATTTGTCCTTCTGAGGCTGATATATATTCTCCAATTCCAGGTCTGACACAAATGACAGGTTTTCATCCTTCTTATGGCTGAGTAATATTCCCCTGAACGTGCTACACACACACACACACACACACACACACACACACACACACACACACACACAAATACAAACACAAACACAAACATACACACACTTTCTCCATTCATTCATCAGGTTGATGGACACTTAGATTATTTCCATTTCTTGGTTTTTGTAAACAGGGATTCCTTAAACATGCAAATGCATATGTCTCGCAGTAAGCTTTTAAACAACATTTTACCCCAAGATTGAGGACATTAAGCCAGGCATGGTGGCACATGCTTGTAATCCCAGCACTTGGGAGGCTGAGACAGAAGAATCATTGTGAGTTTTAAGCCAGCCTGGGTTACAAAGCGAGTTCACGGTTAGCCTGAACCATATAATGAAACCTTGCCTCAAAAAAGACCAAAAAAAAGAAAGAAAGAAAGGAAAAAGAAAAAAGATTAAGGACATTTATAAAATCCATTTTGCTAAAACCAAAATTCTCATTTCTGAATCAAGATTCTAAAATGTATAGATAGTCAAGCACACTGCAAAACATGTAAAAGTTATAAAATATTTAGAAATAAAAATTTCTGCTTATATGATTTTTTAAATGTTCATAATAAAAGCTAAGTATGGAAAATTTATTTTTCACCATTTTGCCAAATATGTGAAGGCAAGGTTGTCTATGGGCATGTATGAAAGGTAAAAAAAAAAATTAGGAGTTAAAAATTGGTTTGAATTTTTGTTTCATTCCACTCCTGGAGAGGTGCTTTAGGAGACAGTGACCTTCTGAGGAAACAAAGTTTCTTCCTCAATAAAATAAGTATAACCACAAAAGCCTGGCAGAATTATTATTGGGGTCAGAGATGTTATAAGGAAAAATATCACTCTACAACTGCTAGAAACTGACACTAAAAAAGCCATGTAGGTAACTTGATCAATAATAACTAAAATAAAAAAAATAAAAACTAAAATTATAATACTTCAAAATGATATCATACCTAAAATGATAGACTCAAGTGATAAAAATATACTCCTTAAAATTTTAATCTATTAATTTTGAGCACAATAAACCAACATCCAGAAGAATTAAAAAGATCAAATATCATTTTTCTCCAAAGAGAAAATGTTTAAGTATCAATAAAAAACTTTAAAAGATGAACAAGATCAGCCTAAAAGGAAATGATGAGTCACAAAACCTTCCTTTGACGTGATCCCTTTACCTCACTTGACCATTTCTCACTCCGATGTTCTGGATGTATAGTTAGTTCTTATTTTATGTGGTATCTGTGTTCCACACACATTTATGCATGCTTACAAATAACCACAAAAATCAAAAACATTGAGTTTAGAGTCACAAGCATTCTAGCACGCAGGCAGATTAGCAGATAAATGCTATCAATAAGATTTGGACCCATGAATAAGTACTAATTATAAATCACTAAAAAATTTTTAACTAGTGAAGAAACACTATTCCATCATAATCATGAATCAAAAATTGTTACATATTTCTTAAAATAAGTATGTAGTGATTGAATTCTGGTTAATAGAGAATTGCTAGTTGACATAAATATATTTAAATTGCCCATTTTAACAGGATAATATAATCTCAGCATTTTAAATTTTTATGATTACCAATATGCTCTTCATTGCCCTAGAATTCTTAATTAATAAGATAATAAATAAAATACCTTTCAACTTACAGCTTTACACATACATCTTTTTCAGGCCCAGTGTCCAGCATGTGGGATAGGCCCTCAGTAAACACATGGTAAGTTAATATTAAACAGTGAACAGTGAGTCTGTAGGAGAGCTACAGGACAGAACCTGAGACTCTCCATTTGCACTCCTGAGATAATTGTCAATACTGCCACATCATCACCATTTGAGAGAGCACTTAATATGTGTAAGTGCTTGAAATATATTGTCTAATTTAGCCACTAGAGTACATCAATGCTGTAATAATTGTGTTGATGACTAAATTTCAATTACATTGCCCTGCCTGAACCACACACCAAGTTAAGTGGCAGTGAAATGATTTGAACTCTGATAAACTTCAGAACTGCCTCTTAATCATGACACTATTATTGCCTCCCACATTATCTTCTTTTTACTTGGATATGTTTTAGTGAAGAGATTTAAACCTCTAAATATTCTAGACTCTTTCAAACTCTTAAGTAGTCTTTTATAGTATAAAATAAATTTTAAGAATCAAGGTCTAAACTCTGCTTCTGCTACTTGGTTCTATGACTGAAAATTACATCAGATTAATGATTTGCCCAGTTTTTCATATATAAAATATACTTTAAATTACTATATGGATTTAAACATAAACTAAATATAAAGCACTCAGCAAAATACCTGGCAGAGAACAGTCAAAAAAACAGCATTCCACTCTTTTAGACTTAGGAAATAAATGCAAATCAAGTAAAAGAAAGCTATGCTTATTTAAGATTTTCAACAAAATTATTACAGAACTGCACACTGACTACGTACTTAAAGAATCTGGAAGAGCAGATATTTTGAGAGAATTTAGCTTTACTCCAATTACATATTAAAAATTAGCATTTTTATATGAAGCAACATAAAAGATATAGATAAGGTCAAAACAAAGTACAAATTTCACCTTTACTAAAAGATATGCCTTTTAAAATCCTATAGCCAAGACTTTCTATACTTTCTTACCTGATACTAGTGGTTTCTGTGTATTGAACAGCCATCAGCTGAGAATTTGAGCTCTGTTCCAGAGCACCCTAGAAGAAAAAAGAAAAAGCTTAATGTCATATAGTAAAATCAAATAAGATCTTCCTATACCAAATCATTCAATATTTTCATTTATAAAATTTTTATTAAAGTATTCATATTGTTTTTCACGGATATTGTGACATATTAAGTTCATGTAATTAAACACCAATGTAGAAATTAGAATTCTTTAAGTATAACTCTGCTTGAGATTCTTACGGAGTTTTACGGAGATTAAGGTATTTAAGGCACTTTCTATAAAGTCCAAAAAAAAAAAAAAAACAAAGTTTAGTCCAAGAACTTTATAATCAAGCCACATAAGAATTGTTGCACACGTAACAACTTAAATTTACCTAAAAATAACTGTTATTAATGGAAAGTTCCTAGGAAGTATGGAAGGTGAAAAGCAGAGATCCCTATGAAAAGTGAAAAGTAGGTCCCCATTGTTTACTAAGTATCTTCATACCTTCACCCATGGACTAAATCTCACTAAAGAGATCTACTACTTTTAGCAAGACAACAGTTTAATCTAGAACCAGTACTGGTTCAGATACACTATATTGCTTCTCTTTTATATAGCATATGCTCTGCAATGTGATTTTATATTCCATGGAAGTTTTATAAATTGATTTTCAGAATTTTTTAAGGACATCAATAATTCAAGGACATATTACTATTACTTAATTAGAAGGTGACCTAAATATTTTCCAGTCAAACAGTGCCTTACATAATTGTTTAGTTCCAAGACATTTGGCATTTATTCATTATTGTGTCCACATACCCATCTTGTATCAATCAAAGCACCTTTGTGCATTACATGCAGGAAGACTGCAAAAGTGCGTAACTGATTATCTTCAAGAAACTGTTTAAATGGGCAAACTGATATATAAAAATAATACATGTATTTAGCATGATAAATGCTAAAAGAGAAGCATGTATGAAAAAAGTTGAAGGTATTAAGGAATAATTTTATTTAAGAAAGAGCAATTTTATTTGGTGAATAGAACAAATATAAAAGGATTGACTACTGGGCTTCCAACTTTTAGCTCTGTAACAAGTCAAGGGTCTTCCTTTATGAAAATCAACTGTTGGTCTTACATGTAGTAAATATTTAATAACTGCTTATTAAACAAAAATGAAAAACACACCAATAAAGTGAAAATAAAAAAAGAAACAAATAAAATACTATACTTACTGACATGATTATCAAGCATGTAGTAAATAAGACCAAAATTGAATTATACCTGATTGATACATATAAGGCTTAAAATGAACAGTTGAAATCTCCAGTGGGAATTTTAAATGATTCCTACTACTTTGGCACATAGGAAATGAGCACAGAAGTGTAAAAGAAGCCAAATTTCTTTTCCTACTCTTAGAAATGAATGGGTAGGTTTTAAGCAAAAATTGAATTACAGACCCATCAGGCAAAAAGAAATTAGATATGCCATTTACCTATGCATGCTTTACACCAATTAACAAAGGAAATTTTGAAAAACTGGCTTTTTATTTTTATTTATATAGACTTACTGAAAGGTGGTAATTAACAAAAATATGAAGTAGGCACTTATACAAAAAGAAGGATGTTAAAAGTCTCTGGTTATGCTGCAGATCTACTTTTCCCTTTAGTTCTGTTATTTTTTGTTTTGTGCATTTCAAAGCTTTGTTATTTGAATTACTATGTCTTTTTGATGAACATTCCCTTTATCATTATGAAATTTCTTTCCTTGCCTGTTATGATAACCTTTATTTGGAAGTCTACTTTATGTGGTTAATATACCAGTCAGTTTTTAATGCTTATACTTGCACAGTATATACATTTTTATCCATTTATTTTTTTCTATCTGTCTGTATCTTTACATTTAAAATGAAGACGTAAACTGCCGGTGTAATTTACCTAAATATTTGGATCTTTCTTTTTTAAAAATCTACTTTGATGGGGCTGGGGATTTAGTTCAGCGGCATAAGCACCTGCCTTGCAAGCAGGCAGTCGTGAGTTCGATCCCTGGTACCGATAAAAAGGAAAAAGACCAAAAAAAAAAAAAAAATCTACTTTGACAACCTCTGGTTTTTAATTGATGTTTTAGCTCACCAGATTTAATTACTACATTACTTGATTTAAATCTATCTTGGTATGTATTTTCTACATATTCTCTTTGCTCTGTTTCTCTTTTCTTGCCTTTATTTTCTTGAACTGATGCTTTGTGTTCTATTTAAACTGCATTGGCATTTTTAGCTGTACAGTACCCCCAACAGTTTTGCAGACCATGGTTTCTGTTACTCATAGTCAGCTGTGGCCCAAAAACATCAAATGGAAAATTCCAGAAATGCGTAATTCACAAGGTTTAAACTGTGTCCTGTCCTGAGCAATCCAATGAAATTTCTAACCATCCTGTTTCATCCTGCCTGGAACATGAAACACCCCTTTGTCTAGCAAATCCACGCCATGAACACTATTTGCCTGTGCCATCTGGTCACATCAGCTGTTACGGTACTATAATACATGTTTTACTTTTACTTCATAAGGGTGCCAAGCACAAAAATAGGGATGCTAGCAGTTTTATTACAGTATATGGTTGTATTATTATATTTATTATTGCTGTTAATCTCCTATTGTGCCTAGTCCATAAATTAACCTTTATCATAGGTGTATAGGACATATCTATGTATAGGGAAAACATGGTATATATAAGGTTTGGTACCATTCACTTTGAGTTACTCACAGTGCACTTTGAAATATTATTTGAGCAATATAATAATTTAGCAGTATATTTCTACTTATTTCTTCCCTCCCTTTGTGTCCTTCTATTTAATCTATAAATCCCACAACTAACTGCTTTTATTACTGCTAAAAAACTAACAGTCTTTGAAAGGAATTTATACAAATATAATGTACAAAATTTTTTTAAAGTGTCTTTACCGAGATACTTACCCATTCTGATGCCCTTCCCTGCTAATCTGCTAATTTTCCTCTGCTAATCTGCAGTTCTAGCTGATATCATTTTTCTTAGTCTAAAAATTTTTGAAATTTCTTATACTTCAGGTCCTCTAGAAAACAACTCCTTAGCTTTTGAATATCTTTATTTTTCTTTCATTTTGAAAGGTATTTCCACTTATTTGAGACTTTTTCTAGTAACTCACAACCTAAGAGGGTAAGATTATGAAAGAGGACAATGCAAATCCAAATTAATTTATAAATGATAGAAATTTCAAAGAAATGTCAAATCATCAAATGAATAGACTATCTTATGAGACTTGTGGATTCTTTTAGTATGTTAAGTAAGTAACCTTGGAGAAAAGAAGGTTAAAAATTAAAAAGAAGACAAAGTAGAGAATCAAAGGAATTTTTACATGCTTTAGAGCTGACAACAGCATAAACAGAATAATCTTGTTAAAAACATTTGACTCTTCACATGGGCCTGTAAGTGTCCAACAGGTAACTTAAAGCAAGATGAAAACAGCATTTTTGTCTCCATTTTATATTCAACTCCTCTGCTCTGAATCACTCTGCCTGGCATTCACCTTGAATTCCTGGAAACATATTACAGTCACAAAACTATCCCCTAGGCAATAACAACTTAAATCTTATCACAGCCAACATAGCCATGGTTGACCAACCCCGAGATACTGATCATCCAGACCACCTTTTGACAAAGACTGGTTGACTACACAAATCTCTGGTCCCTCTGTCTATAAAATCTGGGAGCTTATTCCAGTACTGCTGAAGACAGGGCAAAAGAATCAAGTCCCTTTCTTCCCAGTATAACTATAATCATTCAACTTCTTTCCTATTCTCCCCTCTGTTCATCTTTGGACTGTGGCATCTTGAAACAGGTGGCAGAACCTAGTCTGTTAGGATCCTTCAAGTTGGGACCGATGGCCCAAAACTCTGGTAATAACCCTTATCTTTCCTCTAACTAAATAAACAACTTTTTTACTACGACAAGTACAGATGCATTCTGTTACTCCTTTTTTGGTAAAAGCTAAGATTTTCACATTTCTGAATATTACCCAAGTTCCCTAACAGAAAGCTGACATTCTCTCATTTCTGATCGGTATCCAAGTTCCAAAAATAGTAGGCAAGACTTTTGATTAAGTTATAAATCTTTTCTAAGTGAACAGAGACTATGAAATTAAAACAAAATTACTTTCCTTGTATTAGAATTCCTTCAAGATTTAAAATAATACCCCATCTACAGTAAGTGCTCTATTCTTTTACCCAATGAACATGAAAAGAATAACATGGCAAAGTACATCTAAATAAAAGCAAAAAAAAATCCTCATTTAAATTAAGAACTTTAATCTAATTTTTCATACAAAGCATTATAGCAGCTGTGTGGGATTATCTACTGGCAAATTATTCCCGCCGCCTGTGTTCTTCTCCTATATTGCAAAAGATGGGAGCGTGAAAACTATACTACTTAAAATCATTTGTCACCATGGTGGGGTTTTGGATGTAATTTAGGTTCTGCAGTTGGGCATAGTGATGCATGCCTGTAATCCCAACACTCTGAGAAGCTGAGGCAGGAGGATCACAAGTTTGAGCCCAGTCTGGGAAATTTAGTAGGACCTAGTCTAAAACTAAAAAAAAAATTTAAAGAGTTGAGTATGAACCCTAGGTATGAACCCTTGGTTCAATACCCAGTAATTCCTCCCCAGTAAAAGATATAAAGATGTGCTTGCTCCAGATTTCAAAAGTAGTTGGGAGAGAGTCTGCTTTCCCTCTGGCTATCATGGCAGCTGATGTGTGAGATTTGGAAGACTACAGTTTTTGCAGTCCAACTCTGCACTCCAATGTTAGTAAGGTTCCATATTGCTTAAAAGTTCATGTCTCTGGGTATCCTTTCAATATATTTCTGAGTGTACCTACCACATGTTGCTTCCAATTAGTCAATAAATGATCAAATAATTAAAATGTTTCCACTAGCATATAAGCATGCAAATCTCATCAAATATTTTCCACTCCAGAATAAAACTTTTTTCTTGATCTCTGGAGCTGCTCTATTCTCATTTATGGGAATCATTCTGAATAATTTTCCCCACTTTCTCATCTCTTGTTACTAATCAAATGCAGTTCAAGTAGACTTGTCATCACAACTTCTATAAAAGTTACCAAGTTCTAATGATCTACAAGTTCAATGTTAATTTCTCAGTCATCATTCATCAATATCTCTTAGCCTACAGTTTATCATATCTTGCTTTTTTTTTAAGAGAAAATATCCTAAAATTTATTTGGAAGCATAAGAGACCTAGGATACAAAAATCAATCCTGGGGGTGGTAGGGGAGCAGGAACATCACGATCCTGATTTCAAGTTATATTGCAATGATAAAAAAAAAATAGGCATGATATTGCCACAAAACAATTATGTGGGTCTTGCTTCTGTAAAAAAAATCTTTGCTTGGGTTTTGGGCGTCATACTTTTCTTCATACTGGCTTACTACACATCTTCCTTCTCACGTGGTCCTCCTGCTCCTTTGCCTCTAAGGTTGGAATTGGCCCAAGAATCAATTCGTCAACCTCCTTCTTTCCTCTTTGGTTTCTCACTAGGAAATATTACCCCAAATGAAACATGTAGCTTTAACTTCTTTACTAAACTCTAGACATAGACACTTGATTGTCCACCAGACTTCTCCACTTGAATGTCCAATACTCCTATCAAATTCAATATGTCTAAATCCTTAACTTTTTTGTACAACTTTTCATTCTTCAATCTTGGTGTTAGTAAATAGAATCACTATTCATGCAGTACTTAAGGCAAAGGAGCTACCATTAATTCCTTTTTATTTTACAGCACCAATTTCAAATAGTTCTACTTTCAAACTATATTTGGCATCCAAATACTTTCCCCAGTTTCACATCTATTATATTAGTATGGGTCCCATAAGATCTCTCACCTACACTACTAAAATGGCATCTTAATTGAACTCCTTACTTCTACTAATCCTCCCTGCCATGACCTACCATATAGCAGCTAGAATGATCTTTTAAAAATATAAACCAGGAATGTAGCTCAATGGTAGGACACTTTGCCTGGCATATATGATGCTCTGAGTTTTTGGTCTTGCCAAAAAAACCATGTGTGTGTATAATCAGAACATGTCACTAATCTGGTCAAACTTTTCTTTTCTTTTTATTTATTTCTTTTTGAGACAAAGTCTCACTACGTAGTACAGGCTGGCCTTGAACTCACTGATATAGCCCAGGCTGGCTTCAAACTCATGGCAATCCTCCTGCCTCAACTTCCCAAATGCTGTGATGCCAGGCACGTCCAGCATACTCAGATTTTTCAATGGTGTTTCCTCATGCCCATGATACAAGCTGATGAAGTATGCTATGAGCAAACTGTTGCAACCTCTCTAATCTTATTTCCTACCATGCTCCCCTCATCCCTGCATTCCAGCCATACTCATCTTCTTGAGGTTCCGCCACATGTAAACTGTTCCCTCATGTTTCTGCTGTCTGACAGCTCTTTCTTCATTTTCCCCCTGTATTACTACTTTGTTTTCTCTGCCTATGGCAAAAGCAGTACCCTCACCAATCCCTTGTGCATAAAGGAAAGCTACATGTTCCAGTCTCCCTTGCAGTAGGCAAAAGTAACATTTTAACTAACTAAATGATCACTAATGACCACTGATGACATAATGATTCCTAAAACACTTGGTGGGATTTTCCAAGCTTTCTCTTCACCAAAACCCAAAGCCAGAAGCAAAAGTTGTAAGTTATTGGAACTACATAATAGAAAGAACATGAATCCCTAAGACACTGCTTGGAAAGAAGGCAGTCTAGAGAACTATGCTGCACTTTGTATAAGAAACAAGTTCTTTTTTGGTACCAGAAATTGAACTCAGCCATTGTGCTTGCCAGGCAGGCGCCATGCCACTGAACTATATTCTTGGCCTGAGAAACAAGCTTTTACTCCATCAAGCTAGAAAGATTTTGAGGCTGCTATAATAGTCAGCATTAATTACAGTACCTGGAATTTCTTCAGGGAAACTTTTTCTGACCACTTGATCTCAAATAGTCCCTCATTTCTTACTCCAATTTCTAATCTTCCACAACATTTTATTTTTTTAGCAAACTTATCTCTAACTTTAAGTATGTGTATTTACTTTTTTGTTTATTCTTCTCTCTCCCACTACACTTTAAGCTCCATGAAAGCAGGGACTTTATCATACTCACCACCATATTCTCAGGCCTAAAACAGTCCCTGGGTCATCATCAACACCATGGGCAATTTTGCTGGGAGTTCCCAGTTTGACATTGCTAGTGTAAATGCTTCAGAAGTAGTAATAAATATTTGATGAATGATAGAATGACTATAAATGATGCTTTATGACCAATAACATTATGATAAAAGCTCTCCTGAATAGTTCTAAGGAATTCTGTCATTAACCATAGTGGGTCAAGACCAAATTCAGAAATGCCCTCCATGGATGCATCTCCACTTCCAAGCTGCTTATGCTTCAACATGCTCTGAGAAGCTGTAAGAAGAGCTGAGATACATATACTATTTATTAGATATACTATTGTATCAGGTATGTGTCAAAAAAATGTTTGATAGACCTTTGCATAGGAACCCCTGGCTTGAAGCAAATTTAAAGGAGAAGGCAGGAAATAGAACATGGCTGAGTAGGAAATATTAGTACTATAAAAGCTAACTTAAGTGTCATAAAACCTAAGAGGAGGACTTTAGTGTCAAGGACAGCTACCTTAGAGGCAGCAAGAGAGAGCAGGAATTAGTTAAACCTCCAAAACTTTCCAAGGAAGATAGTAACCGCTGGGGGAAGCCTTCCAACTGTGCGAGTCGTTGTTTGATGACAAGCAGACACAAACCTGAAGGATACGGGTCTTCTGTTGATTATTTGTCATCCTTCTTGACTTGGTCCTTTCTACTTCATGTCTGTGAACCCAACCTCGCAGTTCATGATTTAACCTATAAAACAAACAATGAATACAACATATTTCACAGAATTAGATGTGGATGGAAATGAATTTAATCATTCTGTAGGTTTCAAAGAGTTTTCCAAGGTCTTGCTTACTCACTTGCTTTCTGACTTGAAAAAGCTAAGACAATTAATCTTGTGTTTTTGTTTGTTTGTTTGTTTTTTTGTCTTTTTCATTTTTACCAGTAGCAGGGATCGAACTCACGACTGCCTGCTTGCAAGGCAGACGCTTATGCTGCTGAGCTAAATCCCCAGCCCCTTTTTTTACTTTTTTTTTTGTCTTAATCTTGTTTTTAATAAGACATGCATTTTTATATGCTATCCTCTTCAATTATGAGTTTAAAATTCAAATAAAACCACAGTTAAATATCTGCTCAATATAAATACTAGCTGAAACAGTTTTTCCACTAAAATATTTCCTGTATCTGCTCTCAAGATATGTACAATATATACAAGCATCTGAGACACTAGAGAAATCCTAACAGGTCATCACAGGACTACTACCAGCAAATGGGTATGTTAAGACCTTTGAAAATCCTGCTTTTTCAGGAGAAGAAAACGAAGTGCCAAAGGAAAAAGAAAGTTCATATTTTTAACAGTGTAAATTAAAGGCTAGTTCAGTACAACTTCCCTCTGCTTACTTTCCAGAGACGCTACAAAGGTGTGAGGCTATGCTTATTTGATTATAGTTGATTATCACTTATACGCAGACACACAAAACTGAGGCAGTTTTTGAAGTGTGGGGATCTATTCCAAAATCACAGGAAAAACTCAAGGGAAAAGTTGATAAGGAAGTTGGAATCATAGAAAAATGCCTAGGTATTGCACATCATCAAATCATTATGTTCCTAATTGAAGAAAAAGGTACCACTTGCTATGGATGTTACCATTCACAAGCATAGTCTTTACACTGAATTTTAACATTATTTTGTAGGTTTCAAATAAGACAATTTCAAGTATGCCACCATCACATCAAATAGACCCATCACCGTCTCTATCAGGTTGGTAGGAAAACTGGACAACTAACACACTTATGGTTATCCAAGAAGTAATTGAGAGATTCTCTCAGCCATTTGGTAACTCTGAATAAATACTTTTCAGATTCCAAGGCTAGCCCACTCAAGATATTTCTGCCAAAATCTACAACACTTACCTGAGAGACTCGGTTGTATTAATCAGGGGTTGACAAGGAGGTGGAGGAATATAAAGTAGTGGTTCTTCAGTTAGTACCATTAGGGCTTTGTCATTTGAAACAGAATGATCATACCTGAAACATATATGTACATTATTTGTTTCCTTGTCTCTTAAATTCCTAGGAAGTTTGTTTAAAGAAAACCAACACTAGCATCAACTTTTCACTGAAATAATATGTTGTAAAAAGAATATATTGCAAGGCAGAAATAAATACGATAGAAAAAGAGAAAGTATAAACCATGTAGAACAAATGTCATTTTGAAAATTTCTATAGAGATGGCATAGTAATTCAGGTTTATTACTTATTGAGCTATTAATGTGCATCAAAAATAAGGGATACAATGATAACAAGATTCATGCCTTTGATGAGTTTAAAGTAATTTATTAATGGGAGAACTTGAAAGATCAAGTGGTTGATAGAAAAGACAGTATTATGTGACCAGGACTAAAGTCTTGTGATCATTCGTAATTCTGTGATAACAAAACTTAACAGCCTCCTTAAAACAAGTATATCTGAGGTAGGGGCAAAGTAATCCATAAAATACTTGGCAGGATTAAATGAAAGTGTAAAAAAGTTACAGTTTCAGAATCATAGACCTGAATCACTAATAATACAAAAGCGTGATAGTAATTACCTATCAGCTCGAAAAATATTTATCTAATCATCACTCTAGTCACACAATTCATATCTAGGATGTCGGATAGTGAAATTTGAGTTGAAAATTAGTATCTGAGCTAGGGACATTATTGCTAACTTATTCTCTTCATTCTGCTATTTTAATTGCTGTCCCTAAGAAATCATAAATTTGTCCTGAAATTCCTTATATATGATGTTCTGGATTTATAAAAGTGGATATGCCAAAACACTAAAAGAAAAAAAAAAAAACATAAAATTTAACATAGCAAGATTTACTTTTGGCCTGGGGATGTGGCTCAGTGGTAGAGTACTGGTCTAGCATGCACAAGGTCCTAGATTCAATTCCCAGCACTATAAAAAATAAAAATAAAATAAAAAGATCCAAACTTTATTTTTTTATTCACCTGAATATCAACTATGTGCCAGGTTCTGTTTCAGGTCCAGGAAATCCAACAGGAAAAAAAGTAGATACTCTTTGTATCTACTTCAGATAAAATGGTCTGAGAGGGAGATGTTAAGGCAAGGCCTAAATGATACGAAGCCAGCCCCACAGAAACTGGAGGAAGCTAGGTAGAATCAGGTTAGGAAAAACTAGCTCAAGGAACATAAAAGAAGACCACTGGCTGAAGAATTATGAGCAAGTGGGTGGGAGCAGGCACTAGAGGAAGCATGAAAGACAGAAAAAGCCAATCATGATAAGAACTTGCTAAACACAATAAGAACACAGAAAAATATCTTAAATATAGAAGTGAAATATTTGAATTTATAACTTGGATATAAAATGGATTTGATCAATTCCTGGTACCAAAAAAATAATTTTAAATAAATTTTTAAAAAAATTTTAAATGGATTTGAGGGTGGCAAAAGGAAAAACCTGGATGCTAGTGAGAAGAGAACAATAGCGATCCAGACAAGAACTCATGATGGCACGGACCAGGTTCATGGCAACGAAAATGGAGACAATGGACAGATTCAAAACAATTTTTGGAAAGAATATTAACAGCATTTGTCAAAAGAGGAATCAGGGCTTCCAGCTTACATACTAGAAATGGGGAAGACTATTATAGATGACTGCTTGGAGGCAAAAAAAAAAAAAAAAAAAAAAGAGCAAAGAAAGGAAGGAACTTAGTTCTACTCTGTACATGATAGGTTTGGAATATTAGACAAGTTGGGGAGCCTACTGGATACAGGAATCTAGAAATTGAGAAAAGAAGTCAAGACTGTCATCAGGATACACAGACAGAGCTCCTGCGGGGAACAGGAAGAGAATAGAGACGTCAAACCACATATTTCCAGTGAGCCAGGTGGTGTGTCAGCAGGGAGACAAGAAAAGCAATACCCCCCACCCATCCGTGGGCTGATTTGGAGGAAGTCAGGCTGAGATGATAGCAACTAAAGTAAAAAAATCACTTAACGCTTGTATTGTCTAATTGACTTTGCAGCCTAAAGCTGGTAGTCTGAGCATCTACGTGGAGGATAACCAGATACACTATAGCAATTGTGGGGGATTTCCTTCTGTCTTGTTTTTGAAATTCCATGTTTTGTTCCATTCTGCTGTTTTGTTTTATTCCTGTATCTGATAACCTAAGCAATTATTTTGAAGATAATATACAATAAAACAACCATTGTTAAATTCCTGTCGTGCTGTTTTGAAAACATATATAACTGTTGTTCTTGTTGTTTTGATTTGTTTGCTTCTTGATTTTTCTATAATTTCCTTTTTCTCTTTAAAATAAAAAAAAGGATATACAGACAAGGACTCTGTACTAAATTATAGGTGAATCAAAAAAGAAAACAAAAAGTTCCCAGTTCCAAACCTTGAGATTTGGCTAGAGGAAAAGACTGAAGCAGCAGGGAAGAAAGACTAAAACTGCAGCAACACAAAAGGAGTTTTTAAGTGGGGAGAGATCCAGACAGCTGAGTTCCGGGAAAGGTCAAGAAAGATGAAGACAGAAGTTTCCGTTGAGCTTGGCAACACTGAAATCACTAGCCCCTTTGATAAAACTAATTTTGGCAGAGTGAAAAACTAAGTTCAAGATAAAAGCCAGAGAATGCCATGTGTTCCACCCCCAGAGAAAAAGAAGAAATAGCTAAGGATACCTCAGCTTTCCTCGCACCAGGACCATTCTTGAAGTGCTCTTTTTTCTATCATTGGGTTAAGTGGAGGCAGGTAATTTAGAGTAAAGACAGATGTATTGATACACAGGGAATGAAGGCATATTGTCTTGGGCTTGGTAAATGTATACCCTTCTGAATGCCTATAGGAAGAAGCTGCTGTAAATATACTAAAAAAAAAAAAAATCAAGAACAAAGATCTGTCACACATGCATTATTTTAAAAGTCATGCTGTATACTTATAAAAACACACTTTGTGGTTCATGAGAAAATCCAAAATTGCTCTGAAAATGCATTTCTTATGTATAATTTTCTTTCCAAATGATAAACTCTAGTAATGATTCTGTACATTTGTGCTGACTGGATTTGTTCTAACAGTCAGAAATACTTTGGGGAAAAAGAAAAAACACTCAATAAGAGGAATGCCAGGACAGAGACAGGGTGGAGTTAAAAGAGAAAGGAAAGGGAGCATCTAAGTCAGCATGGAATCTGGAAACAATTAGACCCACGCTAACCCAGAGTTCTAGGCTGCCTGCAAACCACTGTATATCAAAAGGAAAAGTTTCAGCAAATAATCATTAAAGTAAAGGATGTAGGGAGCTAGAGTTGACGAGAATTCCTGGAATAAAGACAGGCTATGACTGATGCCTTTTACAGAAGGTGACTGCCCTTTCCTATTTGTCCAAAATAGTCCTGACTTATGCCTGATGCCCTCACAGAATTTTTCTCATGTAGGCTAAATGGAAATAAGCCTGGAGCTATGGTCATTTTTGCACTCAGTAGTATAGATGTAGCAAAGTCATCAAGAATGATTCCTCTATGGTCTTCAGCTTGTAAAATCTCACAACATTAAAAGTGAAAAATCTCTAAAAAATTTCAAACATGACACTGTGCAATGCTTGCCATCTGTCACTCTACTTTACCTTATTAGTCAAGGTCCCATGTACATATGACTCTGATAAAAATTTCAAAAACACAAGGAAGTGTTTATCAGAAAGTACACAGTCCTCTATATGTTCACTCTCACCTTCTTCAAGTTAAAGGAATACAGGAATTCTATTTTCCTAAGTCTTCTTCTATTGACAAGCAATATGGAAATTCATCAAATCAGTATTAAATTTTACATGGGAGAAATTTAGCAAAGATCACATAAGTATAAATTTGTCTAATGACTACACGTAGGTTCATTCATCATTCTAACCTAGCATATCTACCCACAGATCAAACAGTAACATATATTAGATAAATTAAATGTAAAAACACAATACACTAGCCAAAATGAATGAAGGTATTACACATGGTTCAGTTTTGTGTTTCAGTAGCAGTGTATATTAATGCACACAAATTATGATTTTATGGTCATACCTCAAGAATTCAAAACTGTCAAATGTTTCCATGTAAATTTATTATTAGACTTGATCTTAAAAATAAAATTTACTAATGGTCTCAGTAATTCATCTGCTCTCCTTATCAAAGCTATATATAAATAGTTTAGATATAAAGTTATACTAGATAGAATTCTGTTTCAGTTTGTATAAACTAATCAGATAAACATGCCATCTCACCTGTAGCTATTTTTCTGGATGATATCATCTGATGTTCCTTGTTCTTCTTTAGCAGAAAATCCTAAAAGATGCCTCCTTTGATTTGCAGTGTTCACATTAGGGTTCGTTCTTCTGGGGTCCTGTTCCAGTATGCTAAAGAAAAAAGGAAAGACAGACAGACAGACAATAATTGAAATTTTAAAAAGTCACATTATGCTACATGTACTCTATAACAAACCAGACTTTCTTTATAGGTCTGTACATAGACCAAATGGGATAGAAGCAAGTCAAAACAGTGTACTAACACATAAATACTCTAAGCTTGGTATCCTGTACATATAGAAACAACTTTGAAAATTTTTGTAAGTATAAAGACTCCTTACCTGTAAACTGCTTAACAAAAGCAATATTCAGTACATTTAAAAACTTTATAATGGTATTGTTAGTTACTATAGTTTGAATCTTAAATGTCCCTTACAGGCCCATGTGTTGAAAGCTGGTGCCAGCCTTTAGGAGGTCTGGTCTCATGAAAGGAAGTGAGGTCACTAGAAGTGGTCTTTGAGGGAGAGACTGGGGCTACAGACCACCCTATCCTTCTTTCTTCTCAGCCACCATGAGGTGCACTCCTCTGCCCCACGCGCCTGTGATGATGCACTATGCTGCCACAGGCCCAAAGCAACAGGGCCAAGTGACTGCAGACTGAGACTTCCTGTTTTAAGTTGATTTACCTCAGGTGTTTGCTTCAGTAACAGCTAACTGACCCATACAGATACAAAGTAGAAACACAAACACAAAACATTATGTTTAAATAAATATAAAACTCAGCTAAAACTGAGAAGTTCTGCTGAGTGCTGCAAACTGATGTTTGCAATGAGGAACTATTTCACATAAAGGAAGGATTATTGATTGATTGATTGATTGATTGGTACCAGGAATCAAACTCACGACCTTGCACTTCCCAGACAGGTGCTGTATCACTAAGCTGTATCCCCTGCCATATTATTCTCTTTTGATAGTCAAACTTAGTGTTAGCCTTTCACAATTCCAGAACTCAGGCTATTAAACTAAAGCTAACAAAAATTTATTTTAAAAATATTTCTATTTTTATCTACACATAAAATTTTCAGTTTGCATCTTTCTCCTTACCCTCCCTAATACCTTCATTAACCAATATCACATCCTCTTGATAGGCACAGATATTTGTGGAAAATAAAAAAATCAAGCCCTGGATTTAACTCTTAGTAACAACAGCAGCAACAGGAAGAAGACTGATTTAATGTTTTTATGCACATATTAAATATAACAGTAATTTAACATTAATTGTGTGCTTAGAAACTTAGCTTGCCATTAAGATTTTTGTGTTTTATTTTATTATATCACACACATAATTTACACTAGTCAAAATCTTGAAATTCAATACAAAGGGAATCACCCTAGAAAAGCATAAAAGGTTATTTAGTGGCATGAAGTGGAAAAGAATGGCTGATTTTTTAAAAAAAGAGAGTAGGTAAGTGCCCCATGTTTCGACAAACAAGTTCTGTGGGATATAGTGGTTTTACTCCAAATTTGAGGGAAGCAACTTTGGAAGGAAGCAAGAAGCAGGTATGTCTCTATACTTTTCTGATCTCTTGCTATCATCTCCATTCTCCTACATTCTTTACCCCTAGAAACACTGCTACCAGTGATTCTAACATGGTATGCTGTGGCACTTTGGCATACCACAAACTCTTCAAAGGTACACTGCCAAATGACGGCCACTTTATAAAATTTGCTACAATAAGGTTATATTTTTATTATAGTTGTGTATTTCAGACTAAATGTTCATTTGAGCAGTCATTCAAAACTATAAACCTTGCTGCAAATGAGATTAGAGGCCCAGCGGAATGTTTAAGCAAACTTAGGAAAACTCAACCTAGTGAGTATTTAAGAAAACATGAGAAAAGCTAGGCCTGGTGGCACACGCCTGTAATCCCAGCACTCGGGAGGCTGAGGCAAGAGGACTGTTGCAAGTTTGAGACCAGTCGAGGCTACAAAGTGAGCTTGAGACCAGCCTGAACTGCATAGTGAGACCCTGTCTCAAAAAAGACCAAAAAAAAAAAAAGAGAGAGAGAGAAGCAGTTAATAAATTAGTTCAAAATTATTAACACTTTAAAGTTTTTAAAGAGGCCTCCACTGAACATTGTTCTTCCAAAATTTTTAAAATCACTATAGAGCTGAGTGTGGTTGTACATCCCTGTAATACCAGCATTTGAAGGGCTGAGGCAGGAGGATCACTGTGAGTTCGAGACCAGCCAGGACTATGAAGTGAGCTCAAGGCCAGCCTGAATATAGCAAGGTCCTATTGCAATAAGACAAGCAAACAAAACTATAAACTCTGCATTTCAACTCACAATTTTATGGGCACTTCAAGAAAATGCCTTGAATTTAACTAGTAGTATAGTCTATCACATCTATAACCAGATTACACTATAATCATTTCACTATACTTGAAAATCAGTTCTGATGTTGACTTATAAATGGCTACTATTTTCCCCATGGTCCACACTGGAAATGATTTTGACACTGTAATAACAATATATTCTTAACCATAGCTATTTTTCTAACTTTTGCCCTTTTGTAGCCAAAGAGCTCAGATTATCTTTACAATGCCTACATTATATACAGTCAACAAAATATTAGGAACAGGAGAATGAGGGACAGGGCAAAATGTAGGGTTCAAATAGTCTGAGTCTCTATTTTATCATCTGCATATATTTTGAAATATATGGAATATATTTTGAAATCTATAGACTCTACTTTGAAAGGGTGAATGGATATTTAAAGATTTTGTTAAGAATCTCACACGACTTTCCACTTGTTTGTTTTTGGCTATTATTGTTGGTTGGCCTTCATCTCCAGTAGATTTTAAGTCTTGAAATTTACTTAAAAAAGGAAAAAGAAAAAAATTATCTTAAGCTTAAGTATAGACAAGATGACTGTCCATTTCAGTTCAAAAAAAACAAAACAAAACACCAAAGAACTACAGATTGTTAACCTCTATGGAGTGACCTACAAAACCTAAGTTTAATTATAGAAATAACACCAAAGAATTACAGATTGTTAACCTCTGCGGAGTGACCTACAAAACCTAAGTTTAATTATAGAAATAACTGCAAAATTACACTTGTATTGTTTTTATTAATACTTGAAAGTCTTATGAGAACTTCACTGCCAGAATTTAAGATTAAGTATAATTGTAACCTACATATATTAAGATAGGAATGTGGTAGTTTTGTAATGGTCAAATATACAAAAGAATATGAGAAAATTATTGTTGATATGAACTTGGCATGAGTGTTTTTGCATCATTCAAATGTTCCTTTCTGTTAACTCTGGAAAAATTAAATTTCCAAGCACACAAAGAGATGACTCAGTCACAGTACGTTAGTATCATAATTATATATCCATGACTGTTTCTAGTTTATAATATTAATAAAGTGATCCAACCAAACTCTTTTTGTAATCAGGTTAAATTAAGTTCTATTTAGTATTTTTAGATCAATTAACAAATATTAACAAAATAGAAGTCTCTGTGATCTCTGTCTCTAGGATCAGAAACACAAGAACCATAATAGTTTCAAGCCAGAAAATTATCATTACACCAAAAACCTTGCTCATGTTATGGGCCAATGAGCCTGAAAAGCATGGATTAATAAAACACAAATGCTTTCAATTTCCCCAAAAGTCTGGAAAAATTATTGTAACAATTGTTACTTTGCTTTTTTCATTTACAAAATTCTAAAAGCCAACAACTGTTTTAGATTATTTATGAAACCACTAAATCCTTAAAATGTGATTTCAGATACCTAATCCTCATACAAAGTAGTTGAACATAAAATGGCACATCTCCAAGTCTACTCTGCTCCTGCAAACCTGCTTTCTTCTGATACAAAGAGGTCAATTTTAAATTTAAGTCCTCTCAGCAGTTAAGAATCATACTGCTTCTCATTCGCAAAAGAAACCATATGCTGCTGTTGCTCTGAGAACCACACATGAAAAACCAAATTACTTTAAGCTGAAAGGAGCATGGAAAGCTTCAGGTTCTGCTGTGGAAAATTAGAAAGAGCATAAAATTTGGAGGCAGAAAATTTGTGTTTAAGATGTGACTCTGCAACTCTCTATGTGAGTAGCCCTGGGAAAGTTGGTTAAATTCTCTAAACCTCCAATTCCTCACAAATAAAATATTTCCCGAGATTCAAATGAGATGACAGATGCAAGCCTGTGGTAATTTATAAAGCCCAAAGAGGACACAGAACAGTTAGTGATACTGCTGCCTTCCGGCCTGTCTGGTTCAAGCTGTTCACAACACAGCAAGCAGGGGCTCTTTAAAGACAGACCAGGTTTTATATCCACTCCACAGTTGAAATCCTTCAGATAGCTTTCCATTTCTAGCATGACAAAAGCCCAAATTCTTAAGACAATCAAGGCTTTACTTACTTTGAATCTCTGACATTATCTCCTTTATTCTCCCCCTTGCTCAGTTGAGCCCAGGTTCACAGAGTTCCTTACTCTGCCTTGAAACTGCGAGGTTCACTTCCACTTTAGGACCTTTGCAATGGCTGTTCCCTCTGCAGGGAAGGCTCTTCCCCAGATAGATCCATATGGCTAACCCTTCCATATCCTTTAAGCCCTGTCTCAAACATCTGCTAAATGATTACCATTTAAAACTACAACCTCAACAACTACCCTGGCACTTACAAAGCCATTCACCCTACCATATTTTATTCCTTTGTTCAAATAATTTAAAACTATCATTTTAATTATGTTTATGGTCTCTCTTTTCACTACACTACATAAACTAAGGGGTACAGGGACCTCTGTTTTATTCCAGACCAGTGCCCAGTTCATAGGAGGTATTCTTTTTCTCTTTTATTGGGGTGTGTGTGTGTGTGTGTGTGTGTGTGTGTGTGTGAAAGAGAGAGAGAGAGAGAGAGAGAGAGAGAGAGAGAGAAGATGAGGACTGAACCCTAGGGCCTTCATGCTGAGCTACATCTTCAGCCATGTTATTTTGAGAGAGGGTCTCATTAAGTCATCAAGTTGCTTAGGCTGGACTCAAATTTTTGACACTGCTGCCTCAGCTTCCCAGAGTGTAGAGATCACAGATAATGCACCAG